TGAGAATGCAAGACTAGCATGGTTATCTATTTAGCCTACGTAGTTGTATTTAATAAGCAAGTGTATTTTGGCGTAGCACTACCATATCGCAATAATTGTTGAACCAGCCATGTATAAATACATATTTATAACATAAAGACACACCGATTGAAGCATTCTAAATAAATGTTCTTACTTTTAAATATACTACTGGTTCTAGAGACTAATAATTATTTCAACAAAAATATTTTCTTTATGTGGCCCTAGCACTGTTCCAGCCACCATTGGACCACATAAAAATAAACACAGACATAAAGACTGTGTACCTGTTACGAGCTATGGTTATTCTTTATTTCTGTAGGTGTCATAATTTTTTTAATTTAAAAAAGACGCCCTCTTCTGATTAAACGTGTTTCAAATGTACTTGTTATGGCATACATGTTTTTTGTTACGTAAATTCAAAGAAGCGTTGTTCCCCCTACATGTTGATATACTTATCAAGTATGTTCTTTCATCAGACATTTTTGGTGATGTTTTAAAAATGTTCAAAATTTGTGTTTTTTTGTGTGTAAAGTTTCCCTTTCAAACCTGATGGTCTATGGGGCAAGTGAAGTAGAGTTCACTTGTTTCTGTGACCTCGGCATATGAAGAGATAGTGTGGTCATCACTATCAGAGGCGTAGCGATCCTTCCCGGCGTCCGGGGACAAACTTTCGATTTGCACCCCCTCGAACTTTTGATTTGCACCCCCCCTCAAACTTTCGATTTGCACCCTCCCTCGAACTTTTCATTTGCAACCCCCCCCCCCTCCCTCAAACTTTCGATTTGCACCCCCCCCCCCTCGAACTTTCGATTTGTTTTTCCAACCCATTTTGGCGCCCTCGTAAGGTCGGCGCCCGGGAACGTCATACGTCGTCACAAAAAGCCAGACCCCCCCCCCCCTAAAATGACGTCACGCCTCAACCTACAACCCCCCCCCCCCCTCAAAATTGCAGTTGAATTTTTTTTAAACATCGATATTTTTCTAAAATCTTGTCTAAACTATTACAATTTATTAAAATAGTTATCTAAAACGCGAAATAACGTCTCTAAAATTCGTTTTCTAACATTGCTTTTTTATAATGCAAACGTGTGACATCGCAACATCTGACCGCCCCCCCCCCCTCCCTCCCCCTCATCACACATCGTCACAAAATTACGGACCAGCCCCCCCCCCCCCCCTACGAGTGTGACGTCATTTATGGATGACCCCCAAGTGAAGAACGAGAAATATTTTCAGGCAAGACAAAGTTATAACAGTACACTAGACCAGGGGTCGGCAACCTGAAGAGCCGAAAATTACAATTTACACAATGTCCCAGTTTATAAAGAGCCACATTATTATTTCAATATGGTATTTGATTAAGATTTGGTAAATAAATTTGATTTGTTAGTTAAAAGCATGGAATTGTTGCCACGGCGCTGTGCACAGAACGGCTGTGGGGCTGGGCCTGGTGCCCAAGCGGCTGTCCGTATACTTGCTACCTCACCTATTCTCACTGTTGTCTGATGAGTGTTTTTATCCTGTTTAAAGTTGTTTAATATTTGGTATGTGTTTCAAAAATGAAATAATATAACAAGTAATATTTGTGCAAGGAGCTAGAGAGCCGCATCTCAACATCAAAAGAGCCGAAGGTTGCCGACCATTGCCTGAAGAGCTAAAATTCACAGAAAAAAATATTTCTTCTGTACATGAATAATTTTAATTGGACTGCATTAACAGGGAAGAGGAGACCATGGCGTTCTGAAAAACAAACATTTTAGTTGTATATCAATTCAGTTCTGATCACTGAAATTTTAAAAAATATATAACTTTAAATACACTACTAAATACTACTATTTAAATAACTAAAGAAAAGCGCGGGTCACTATATTTTCGGCTAAAAGTAGGAAATGGGTCTAGATTATAGACTAGTGACTAGAGTTTCTCTCGGCCTTTTTCATCCTCGGAGGTGGGGGGGGGGGGGTACTTGAAATTTTCGGGGTTGGGGTGGACACTGGTATAAGTATATTTTCTATATAAATTCTATTTCGTTGAATGGGACGGTAGATTGGCTTTGGGTGTGGGGCTTGCCATTCTATCGTCTGTTCTACAATAATTCTAAGAGTGCCTATCTGATCTGTACAAGACCTTTCCTTCCTAAACTCTGCTTGTTCCTCTCTTAGCTTAAGGTCAACCGCCTCTTTCATTCTGTCCAAAATAACTCTGGTAAGGACTTTATTTGGGATGGACAACAAGGTACTGCCCTCCATTTTCCACTCTGAGATAAGTCACCGTTCTTTGGCAACTTAACAAGGTTGGGATCTGTCCTGTGTTTCAGACTAAGTTAAGTAAATTATGAAGTCGATTTACTACTTTTTCTCCACTTTGTTTTAATGCCTATGCTGGGATATTATCTCAGTGGCTTGCTTCAATATTTCCCAGGTGTGTTTCACTGAAATAAAATCTTTTTCTCCTGTCTGTAGAGCTTCAACCCGATTTTTTAGTGTGAACTGAAAATTTGTCCTTCTATCTTGTGATTTAAGTTTACTTAAATCAAACCTTCTTCTTGAATCAATTTAATCAAGTCTCCTCTTTTTGCCTTTAGCTTCATCTCCAGTTTAGCAACAACCAGGTGGTGATCGAATCCTATGTCGGCTCCTCGCTTTGTTCTTACATCCTGCAGTGAGGCCCTCCAACGACGCCGTACCGCGACATGATCAATCTGTTTTCAGTATGATGGCAGGGTGATATCCAGGTGGCTTTGTGACAATTTCGGTGGGGGAAAAGTGTAGTAAGCTCATTTGATGAATTCGCCTATCTCATTCATTTCCCCTAGGCCATTGGTTCCCATCTCCATTTCCCTGCTTCTGTTGTCTCTGCCTACTTTGGCATTTAAATCACCCATGAGGATCAGCATGTCGCACTAGGGTACCTTTCAACCACCGACTGAAGCTCTTCGTAGAAACGGTCTTTTTCTTCCTCGTTTGCATTGTTCCCTGGAGCGTAGCACATGGTAATGGAGGTCTTTTGAAACCTGGATTCAAATCTAGCTTTAATTATTCGATCAGATACAGGTTCCCATTCCATCAGGCTTTTTGTTGCCTCCTTTGTCAATAGCAAGGCTACACCTGCCTCATGTGGGTCGTCCTCATTTTCTTTTCCCGAGTATAGCAGTGTTTCTCCCGTCTGGAATTTTGTCTCTCCAAAGTTGTTCCATCTTGTTTCGCACAGGCCAAGCACTGTAACATGATACTGTTGCATTTCTTTCACTGCCTGTGCACACTTACCTGCTTCCCATAGTGTTATGATGTTTCATGTATCTATTGGGATAGGCTTCTTTTGCGACAGTAGTTTTTGGGGCTGCAAATTTAGTTTACCTCGGTTGAAGAAGGGGCGTCGGCTCTGTAGCTTCCTTGCGGGTTTGGCTGCATTGCGTCATACTTCTCCTAAGTCACCTAAGTGCAGAGTTTCTTCCAGGCATCTCTTCGAGGGGGGGGGGCAGCCCCCCCCCCCCCCGAGTTGAATTTTTTTACCGCCCCCCCCCCCTCCCCGAACGAAAAGAAATGTATATAATTTATATAGAAAATATATACTTTTAACAGTGTCCGCCCCCCCCCCCCCGAAGAAAGTCTACCGCCCCCCCCCCGAAAATTTCAAGTGCCCCCCCCCCCCCCGGAGAAAAAAGTCTGGAAGAAACACTGCCTAAGTGGAACCCTGGTTCTTCCGGAGACTGGGTTGATTTCAAATTTGTCTTCGGTTTCTGTAACTTCACTTCGTTTTATGTGGACGAGCAGTTAGCCCATCGCACAACCCCCAACCTGGAGGACCAGGGCACATCGTTTGGTCTGGTCCCTACCCACAGGACCAGGGCACATCGTTTGGTCTGGTCCCTACCCACAGGACCAGGGCACAACGTTTGGTCTGGCCCCTACCCACGCAGATCTGTCTGACTTGGTTAGACCTGCCAGGAGCACCAGGCTCCCGTCGGCATAGCTCTGGGGGTCGCTGGGGCACACAAGCCATCCCACCACTTCAAGGCGGTGTGTCATCAGGATGGGGTTTGGTGAGTAGATAACTTTTTTCACTTACATTAAACTTATAAAAGAAAGCAATTGTATTAAAGCGTATTGTACGATTGCGTAACCGTAAAAATGCTAATGACGCAAAAAAAGTTAAATGCATTTTGAGCGTTGATGAAATCTTTTTATAATATTGCGTCAGCTTTTCTTCTACAACCGCAGCACCGCGAGGGATAAGACGTAAGATAAAAATAAAAAACCGCAACGCTGCGAGCAGGGTTCGAACCTGCGCGGGAAGATCCCATTGGATTTCAAGTCCAACGCCTTAACCACTCGGCCATCACAGCTGTTGCCAAAGTACGTATCTAATCAAACAGTTGAATAGAAAAAATTTAGTCGTGGTGGTAAGCTTGGCCTAATAAAATATAAAACATTAAATTCAGCACAAGCAGTTGGGTAGCAATCGAGTATCAAAGGCTAGATATCTAGATATAGCTTAAAAGGCTGAACTTGTAATCCTAGTAAATTAGTTGTACAACTCGAGGTTAAAAAAATGAATTTAAACAGGTCAATATTATAAAATAATATAGATAAAGTCTATATAAAAGTTATAAAATTATCTGAAAATATCTTAACCTTATAATATAATGATAAATTATAGTATTATTATAGTCATAGAATCGTAGATTCTATAAATAGGCTTTTAAGTGGTCTCGATTTCTAAACAGTTTGATTTTATGTAAATAAGCAATGTTTGTTTATCTTATTTGCTTTGATATCTCATGGACTATTTCTTTGAGATAACTTTGAAGCTCCGTGTAAAATAAAGAAGGTTGTCAGACATTACTTTACATTAGGTCCCCTAATTTATTTATTTAAAAAAAAAAGAAAAAAATTCAAACAGGGGAATCCCCTTTTTTTTGCTGAGAGAGGTAACCGTCTCCTCATTGGATGTGATTGTCACGTGACTTTAAACCTTTTCTAGGCTAGCCTAGATCTACATAGAAGATGTGTTCATGAATGTAATAACCGCAACTAGAAAATGTAGATTGTGGTTAGGTAGACCTATACTATGCTGATTCTACTGCTATGATCGTTAAATTATTAATCAATCAAAATAGTTATATCTAGATCTATAATCTTCGTTTCAGTTGGTCATTTATTTGATGTAGTTTTAAAAGCTATTAGTATTAGCCATAGGCCTACTAGATCTAGATCTAGATTCTATTTGTAAAAGTAAAAGTACTAAAAAGTAAAAAGTGTTATTAATGAACAACTTACTAGATCTAGAGTAAAGTTCCGCGTGTGGTCAAAACCACGGTGTAGTCACATTCCTGTTTCTGTTTATGGCTTCGTATTACGTAGGCCGTTCGAATTCGCAGCTTCCGGGTTTGTTGTTTTGAAGCCATCTCACGGCTCATGCGCTTACCAAAAATGGCGACCAGTTTCGCTTTCACTAATGGGTAGAGCGATAAAACTAATGATTACGAAGCCATCGTTAATTTAAGAAATCGGAACTATCCGTTTCTATTTAAGTCTGTTATTTAAGAATTGTCGGATCTACTTTTGGCCTAATTCCTTTGTTTGTCTCGCAAGCGGCGCCTTAGTGAAAGTAGCTCTATGAATTCTTGTCTTTTATATCAAATAACTCTTACATATCGCTTCCAGATGCAAACCAGCTTATGTCAGATGTAAACTTTAAAGTATTAATTTTACACACATTACCATTAACTGGTAATAATTTGGCGTGTTAATGAGATATGTGCGTGGGAAAACGATCACCCCCCAATAATGCCATTTTATTATAATCTTGCTTAGTGAAAACGAGGCGCGGGAAAATGTGTGCTGCGCAAGAATCCAATCATTTGGCTAGATTTATGACTGTTTTTTTATGTCACACCTAAAAATAGAATGTTTACGCTTTCTTCATTGATGATCGTTTTCATTATTTTTTAAACTGAAAGTATGAATTATTAGTTAGATTTCAGGTTTTGTAACTTGGTATACTTACCCTTTATCAAAATTAAAAGCATAGCATGCTGATTGTGAACAAATATAGTCATAAAACACAGAAATATAAAGTTACAAACAATGCGATGTCAGGATGTGCCACACCCGGGCCACACCCCCTCAAGAAAACACGTGTTTATTAAGCTGTTTATGTCACTTTACACCAGTAATTAAAATTAATTTTCAAATTTTTATCACTTATTGGGTAAGATTAAGCACATGTATACTGAAAATTAAAAAAAAAAACAAAAGCAAATTCTGTTTTAATGAAGGTCACGGGTCAAGTTTTTTTTCCTTCTGTCAAGTTCATTGGAGGTTGCCACAGACTGACCTGACTTTGGAATTTTTTTTCAGTAATAATGACTTTACACAGAAAGTTAAAATATGCTAAATTAGCTTAGTTTACTAGTGTTCTAGCTATTATTGATACATTTTTAATAAAAAAAATCATTCTGTAATTCTCATCAAAAAGCCTAATCGTATAATATTTGTTTGGATGTTTTATACGAAACTACCAATATCTGCTGTAAACATGTCCATTTCTAAATATATCCAGGTCAAATTCTTTTGTTTCACTCCTTCTGAAAGACGAGTTTTTAAATTTTCAAGTTTCGAGGTATGACGTCGTAGGCGATTCTAGTTCCCCCGTATGAAAAGCACTAGGTCCCGGATGAGATGAATAAAACCAACCAATCAAAGCTTTTTATAACTAGGTTAACTATAAATAGCTTCTATTTATGTGCGGGACACTGAAAATACTGTAGTTAAGGCTATTAAAAGGATCTTAGTGGTGAAATGGGGGTGATCACAGCTGGGGTAACGATTTTTGTGTTTTACCCTCGCTGTGGTCACCAATGACTTGAGCTAGACTAGCCTAGATCTAGCTGCTCTATATTTCAAGCTAAGTCTAGAACCTATATAATTTCTATTTTTTTCTGTTGTTTTAAATTATTTTAATCATCTACTTCTTCTAAATCTAGTTTGTGTCTCTACATACAATCCAATTGAAGCAAATGTTACGTTTTGTCTTGTTAGTGATTGTTACGTCCCTTTGTTATGATTATAATAGTTGCGTCCCTTGAGTCATCACTGGGTCATCCGTAATTTGTAGTTAATAAATTTAATTAACGTGTTATTATTTGGTTTTGCAAATCTATTAATTAATTATACAATCATCAACACGTTTAAATGAGTAAAATTATTAAAATTGGATCAAAACGTAAAAAATACGCTAGTGATCACAAGCAGGGACAGGTGACCACAGGCAAGTAAAAAGGGGGGAAAAGTCGATCACAAGGAGGTTCGTCACTAAAACATGAATATCTCAAATACTATGCGTATGAATACAAAATAACTCATGCATATTAGAGTAGAATGGCAGTGGAGTAATAAATTACTTTCGGTTTGTTTCTGTGTGAAACGGTTACAAAATAGCGCCCGATGAAAATCGGGAGTTCGGAATTTTTCGCTATGTGTGACCACACGCGGAACTTTACTCTAGATCTACTTACTAGATCTAGATCTAGATTCTAGTAGTATATACTACTTAACTTGGCTTTTTTGGGAGGGATCTTGTCCTCAGTACACTTTACACTACAGTCCTTGATCTGACACATCATTATCAATCATATATTATTATTGGCCCGTACTAATTAAAAAATTAATATCTAGATTCTAGATCTAAACTAATTAATTATTCCCTATAGAAATAGAATAGTAGTATAGTCACAGTATAGTGGCCTAAAAGCCCTAAAGCTAACCAATAGAGTAGTGAGTAGATCTCTAAACTTTAGATTCTAAATTCTAAAGTAATTAATAATACAAGTAATAAATTAAAAAAATAATTAGTCCTAACAATTCAATCAATGATTCAATAGATCTAGACTCTAGGGCGCTAGGCTAATCTAGATTCTAGATCTAGAATCTATTAAAAACTAGATTCTAGTCTAGAATAGAAGAGCAATAGAGATGGATTTAATTTAGACTTTAGATTTATAAATTTTAAGTCTTTACTATTTAGGACCTAGATCTAGGCCTATACTTAATACTATAATAATATTGGTTAGACAATAGTTATAATAGGCCTAGGCGTAATATAAATATTAGGGAGGCTCACTAACTTAAAAGCGTCCTTGGTTGCTAACCAGAACATGGCGTAAGGATCGGACCATGACTTCCGGCGAGTTTTTCGACTTAGTTCCAGAGACCTTCTTAGAATTACTTTTAAAAATGTTTATCACGAGTAAAATGGCGGGTTTTTACGTTATAAAAACATGCTATAGGTGGCAAGGCTAAATATGCCAGAAAAGCATTTTCAAAAATTGCTTTGGGGAATGTAGGCTAAATTTAAAGTCGGTGTCATTCAAAATAATATAACTTTTTAAATATAGATCTCCCTATCACAAAATTGATTTCCAAAGTAAAGCATTATTAGTTTTATCATTCTATGAAAATATAAATCAAATATCTTCAACACTTTTTTTTATATGATGTGTCCAAAAAATGACAACCAATTTTTTTTATTTTTTTTTGACCACGTGACCGCTATTTGAATGGATACGTTTACCTGGCATGGTTTTTTATTTTGCTCTTTTGTACAATAAAAATTGTTATAAAATTAAAGAAATAAAAGAATTCAAACATCACTTCTGTCTTGTCTTTTTTTAAATTTATTTCTGATGACATTCTCTTAATTTTTTTTCCTCTATAAATATATCCCGACGATAGACGGGCCAATTCTACTTTTAGGAACTCTCTTGTGAAAAAAAATTAGATCTATTTCACGGTCACTTAAAAAGTTAAACCTTTCAACTTTTAACCAGGTTGTCATGGATGATCCGTCATATCATAGCTGTGAGTGACAAAACATTTTAAAATTCAATAATTTAGTCTAAACTCGCTACAACCCCCAAATTAGTGCCTAGAGGATAAAGTATGGACGTTTTTTATTCAGTTGTCATGTTTAAATTGAGAATTGAGTAGATTTCACATATAGTAAGAAAAACTAATAAATATATATATTAAATAGGCCTAAATTAATGGCCTAGACCACGGGTTCTCAAACTGGGGGTTGCGACAACCATTAGGAGGGGGGTAGCGAAGGGCTATCTGGGGGGGGGGGGGTCGACAACTGGTATACTAAACCTTAGTTACTAATGAGAAACAATACATAAATATTTAGAAGAATATCTGAAATTCGGCTTTACTAACATCACTGGAAATGGAATAGAGAAGAAACAATGCAAGTTTATGAAATCTTCAAAACTCAAACATCCTTTGAGGTAAGTCATTCGGAACACACCAAAAAAGATATGGAGTTCTTTCATCGGCATGAAGCTAGTTGCAAATGCCAGAGACTTGATCGAACAGGAACAAGGAAACACAGCATTAGTGCAAGCATCAAATGCAGTCGCAATAGAAAATGCCAAGCAAAAAAAACACAATAGGAGAAAATCTCATCAAACGCTGCATTGTTGAAGATAGTGAAGTTAATTCTTGGAGATTCTAGTGCAGTAAAGATGCAACAACAAATATCTCTGCCTAATAATACTGTTCAGCGGCTTATATCAGATATGTCCAGTAGATGTTAAATAACATTTTTATTGAAAACAAGCTTTCACCATTGTTTGCTTTTCAAGTTGATAAATCAACAGACGTGAGTTCGTGTTCGCAGTTGCTGGTCTTTATCTATATTCATTCAGATAATAGCAAAGAAGAGTTGCTATTTTGTTAAGATAGCGTGGAGAAAATAAATACGTTTTTTAAATTGGATGATTAAAATGGGTTAAAGCGGCTGTTGGGGTTTGTACGGATGGTGTGCCATCTATGTTTAGGTCAAAATTGGGCTTTCAAAAAACAGAAAAGATTTAGCTCCCTAACCACTGCCCTCGCCATTAACACTCCATTGCTAGTAAAAATCGTAAATAATATAAAATCTGGAGCCTTCAAAGAACTGAGCAAAGACATTAATATAGATCACGAGGTTCTGCAAAATCTGCGAAAAAAATAAATCTTGGAAATATAAATTTGAGAAACTGCAGTGTGGTAGATGAATCTGATTGTGAAAATTTTAAAAGAAGCCATTTCTGGGCATCTCGAATCACTTGAAAACAAAGTGCAGCGCTATTTCTCTGCGCTGAAAGCAGAAGAATCGGCATTGACGCATTACCCATTCTCTTCTTCCCTTGATGTTGCCAGCATTCCCAATGAATTACAAGATGAGTTCTTTGATTTGCAGATGAATTCAGCGTAAGTTGAAAAACTGCACACACAATTTTGGTGTAGTATTCACCATTCATACCCAAATGTAAAATTGATTGACTTTTTGAGAATAGATTTTCAAAACTATTCTTCGATTTAAAAATCATTAAGAAATAAATTGAATGTTTTTAATGACAGGTTGGTGTAAACAAAAACTTAACCGCGAATGTTTATTAAATAGCATACAATTTTACTCATGGTATTTAAACAGTTATCAAGAGTAGTTCATATTGAAAGTCTACTAGAAAATCTTAATTTAGTGCTTATTAATTTCCATACTAATTTCGGCTTTTTAATTCTAGGGGAGTCGCGGGTCACTTACTTTTTATTAAAGGGGGTCGCCACTCGAAAAAGTTTGGGAACCACTGGCCTAGACTATATGATTAGAATTAACTTGAATTGAGAATCTTTAGTTTAGCTAGATCTAGATTCTAGACCCAAGCCATGAATTAAGCCATGAATTAATACTAGATCTAAACTATTTTATTATTTTTACAGAATTTGAACAGATCAATCATTGATTAATTACTAATAATTAGATTAATAGTTCAAATCAATCAATAGAATCTAATCTAGATCTAGAATTCTAGATTAATAGATTGTCTCCCCAGTCTGATAGAAATTTAATGATCTAGATTTCTAGATCTAGTCAATGGACACCAGTGAGAAAAGTCTCAAAGGTATTTGAGAGGTCCATAAATTCATTTAAAAATCTTGCACGGCGTAGTTACAATTAATATGGTTATAAAATCCTGTCTGTCTGGTTTTTTTCGGACTTTACTAAAGATTGGATGTATTTGATGTTTTGAATATTTTCGGTAACTAAATATAAATTTAAAAAAAAAGCAAAAACAATTTGGTTTTCACGTGTAATGGAGACATAAACAATGGCCGCCATAAATTTTATTGTACACATTGTAAGCTAAAAATAGAACAAATAGGTCATGGTGTTTAAATTTGCATAGTTATTTAAAAACTTGATCTGCAAAGTTTTGTAAACAAAATAACTGTCAAGTGGGGCTGTCAGAAATCGATCACGGAGTTCCTTTACAGCCAATCAATGTTTGTCTTACGAAAGTGAAACATCGGGTTATAACTTAGGCTTGATGAAAATAAATAGAAATGTAGCCTTAAACTCAACAAATTATTTTCAAGTTCTCTGGATCTGCAACTTGTATAGCATTGATTCTAAAAATATTACATTTCTGAATTAATTTTAGGCTTAAGTTTTTAATAAAATTTTATCTTTTATTAGTTTTATGGTCCTAAATCTAAAAAAGCACATTTTTATTCCATGTCAACAACATTACGGAAGGAATCTCGTCAACTCGCTGGTGTCCATTCTTAATTTGAATAAATATGATTTAGAATTGGAAGATGCTATTCCCAGTTGACTGTGAATAGCCATATTAAGGCTATTCACAGTCGTAACTTTTTATTAATTGATTTAATGTTAAAAGAACCTGTACTAACATGAAGATGAGTGGTGGAGTGGCCTTGTGGGTGGCAGTCATGCCAGTAATCGCTTTGACACTAAATGTATGCTCCTTACTATCAAAATATTTTTTCCCAGGGGTCATCCATTTATGACGTCCACACACGGGGGGGGGGGGGGGGGGGGGGGGGGGTCCGAAAAAAAACTGACTTTTGTGGACGCGTATGCTTTTATAAGGAAAAAAGTGGATTTTTGTGGACGGGGACGGGGGTCAAAAATCCAACTAAATTGTGGACGTCATAAATGGATGACCCCCTTATTCATGGAAGGGTTACTTGTGTACATTTTTGTTTGTTTGTTATGTAATTGCTTGCATATCTGCAAAAAAAGAACCTGTCCCTTAGATTTTTGCTAAGAGAAAAAACAACTTGGGAAAAGTGTGATGGAAACTGAATGATAGCTGATTAAAAAGGACATGCTATTTCACCTGATATTTAGGCCTATGTGAATCTTAAATGGTAATTGATAGTTGAATAGCTATGTGAACAACCGACTAAACTGATGCATAATTATTATTTAGTTAAAAATTACTAGATCTATTGTCTGTTAGTCTAGTAGGCTTATACATTTGAGTGCATAATTGATCATCTATGACCTACGTAGCCTGTAGCAGATATGTCTGATAGGAGCCTAAAAGCTAAACTAAATTACCATAGGCCTAATTTTTTACTTTCTCGTTTACCAAGTATAGAGAAAGTATTGTAATTGAGCAAAAAAAAAAATCGAGTTTTTTGCAAAGCTCGACGTTTTACACCTCCCTGAGTCGAGAAAAAACGTAGTTTTGCAATCTTGTCCATATGTCTGTGTGTGTGTATGTGTGCCTGTGAACACAATAACTTCAAAACTTGAGTACCCTTACAGCTAGGTTGATGAAATTTCATATATAAGTATTATATCAAATTTGTAGTTCCGTATCAACTTTTCAGCGATTTCCGGTAACGGGAAGTGCCACTTATTCTACTTTCGATTTTTCAAAAGCCTATAGCTTGAGTACTGTTTCAGATAGATTAATGAAATTTCACAACTAAGTAAATGATCTAATTCTCTGCCCTCTGTCAAATTTTGAGTGATTTGAGTTGACGGGAAGTAGATCTAGTAATTTACGCTATTTCCGATTTCTCAAAAATGCATGTGCCATGTGAATTTATAAAGTACTAATAAAATTCCACACCAGTATACACATATTATTTGGCGTTTACTTGGTGCACAATTCTTTTTCTACAAGATTCTGTTCTATTTTTAAAAGTTTAAGTAATAATAAATTAAAAATAGATTAAAAATCATGTCTATATCCCAAGTTGCCATCCCTCGTAGTGCTATATAAGAATATTCGAGAAAGTTTAGGGGAGATCACTCCCGGTTTATTTTTACAAAACTAGCACTGCTCTCTTAATCTATACCTCGCTCCCCAGTCACAATAAATGCTTTTATTATTGTAAGATATTATTCCCAGTTGTATTTACCATGAAATGACTGGACAGCCGACAGGGGATAGCCGTATTGGGGCTATTCACAGTCGACTGGGACTAGCCTTGGGGGTCATCCATAAATGACGTCACGCTTTTTTTGACGATTTTTACCTCCCCCCCCCTCCCCTCCGTCACACGTCGTCACAAAAAGCCAGACCCCCCCCTAAAATGACGTCACACCTCAGCTTACAACCCCCCTCAAAATTGCAGTTGAATTTTTTTAAAACATCGATATTTTTCCAAAATCTTGTCTAAACTATTACAATTTATTAAAACAGTTATCTAAAACGCAAAATAACGTCTAAAATTCGTTTTCTAGCATTGCTTTTTTATAATGCAAAAATGTGACGTCGCAACATCTGACCCCCCCCTCCCCCTCATCACACATCGTCACAAAATTACGGACCCCCCCCTCCCCCCTACGAGTGTGACGTCATTTATGGATGACCCCTTGGCCTTTAGAATTTAGATATCTAAAAATGCTCGGATATAAACAGCTAAGTCAGAAGAAACAAAGTATATATATAATATATATGTGTGTGTGTGTATATATGTGTGTATAAACTTTAATCACTGCAGAATTAATAGTAACAATGTTTATCTATAGTCTGTTAATAACACAGTTGTATGTAGAATTGTTTTCTCTATAGTTAGCAGGTTGTAATAATTGTAGATTTTTACTGAAAAGGCTATTTAATTTAAATTAATCATTAATGAAACTGGAAAAAAGTATTTTCTTCTGTACATTTTGAGATTTTTTTTTGCCATGGTGTCCGTCGTCGTTCCCCCCCCCCCCCCCCATGGTGTCACCAGGTGATGTCCGCACACACCCACCCGCCCTGTCCTCTCTACGCCTCTGATCTAAGTCTATAAGTAGAATCTAGAGTAATCCAGACTAGTTTATTGATCTATTCTAAATCTAGATCTAGTTGATATTAGATCTAGATTCTAGATCTAAATCTAGATAATTTGATATTGATTGATGTGAAAATGACTTTTTATCAAGGACTGTATTTAGAATATCAAATATCTATGCCAAGAGGTAGATCTAGACTAGAGCTAGTTAAACTTTTAAGTTAGATCTAGACTAGACTTTGTAGATTCACTCTCGCGACTTGAGGTATGGCTTTAAAAATTGTTTAAATTTCAAAAGTGAACAAACCATGATTAGAATCTAGACTAGATCTAGATTTCTAGGTCTAGATAGTTGTTTTATAAATGGAAGAAAACTATGAATCAGGTACAGACATTTTAAAGACAATGTGTAGTCTGATAGAAGAAAGAATAGATTCTGGATTAGGATCACTTGGTTATGTATCATCGGATACTAGCAACTTGTCGATAGCTGAAGAACCAGTGACTGACAATACGGCCAGTAGATCCCGGTCTGTTGAAAAAAACACAGTCGACCTTAGTCATCAACTTTCTCTTATTAGTATTGATAGTTTAAAAGAAAATTGTGATTCGGGAGTTGATGAGAACTTCATATCGAATTTGAGAAGCCCAGATTCACAAGTTTTGGAAAACTGGTCGTCGCCAAGTTTTTCAGCGGAACAAATTGTTGAAATATTTCGAGGTGATGAAGATGGAGACAAGTTAGTACACTTAAGTACACTATTTAGTTAGACTAGATGATTCTAATTAGATTCTCTTTTTTTTTTTTACATTTTGATTATTGAATTAACATCGCTGTATTGTTCTGTAGTGTTGTCAGTAGTAGTAATGGCAAATCTAGATTTAGTACTATTTGTTTAGAATTTATTAAATTGGGTAATTAGTAATAAGGTCAGTACTATCAGCCTATCAGGGCTTTTTTTATATTCTCATTGTTTGTATTAGCACTGGCCTACAAAAGTACTTTAAAAGTACTTTTCAATTTTATGCTTTACCCGTTTCTTTAAAGTTTATTGGCTGTAACAAGCTGTTGACATAAAAACATAAATCTAGATTCTAGAATCAGTCTGTTAGATTGATGTGCTAGCGCATCTAATTTTTTATTGAATGGAAAACATGTGTTATTGGGATTTCCTTGTCCAGATCTCAATCTGTGTAGCCTACAGGAAGGTGAAATGGGGAGGGGTGTAGACTTCACATGGAAATTCTAGTTGTGCGCTGGGATTTTCTCCACATATCTTTTAATTCATAATAACAAGTGTGTATTTTTAGATCGTGTTTTACACTTCCCGCCCTTTATAGTAATTTATTAGTAGACTAGGGTACGAGTATTTTATCCTAGAACCACATGAGTTGCCTAGAGGAGAATTCCTGCATTCCACTGATACCAAAGTAATTTATGTTTCTAGCTAAATTAGAACTTGCGAAGATATTTTTTTTCCTTATTTTACTAATCTGGCTTTATAGAAGATCTATATAGATCTAGTTTATAGGGAAAAAATAAAAGTTTATAGGGAAAAATAAAGTGAGTTCAAAGGTGAACATTTTTAAAAATAATAATCATTATTTTAAAAAATTATAATAGTAAATTATGAAACAGGGGTGATTCTTTTATATAAATTTCACAAAACAAAATGTATTATCTGTTGTTGAGTGTTGCTATGCAATTTTTTTTTCAAAATCAGGTTTTTACTATGACTAATTATCTAATTTATATAGGAAAAAACAAGATTGTTGATAATGGTCAAGATCTTAAAAAATTCATAAAAAAATATTTATTCAATATCAATTCACATAAAACTAATGAAATGAAACTCCAATTATCTTATTATTTAGAATTAAACAGATTTATGTCAGAATATTTATAATTTGGAAAATTTAGAGCATGTATCATTGTTTTCAAATTAATTTTTTTAAAGGAAAAATCTATATATATAATTCTCTTCTGGGAGCCGCTAGAAAACAAGCTGCAAACGCGCCTAGAAAACAAGCTGTAAACGCGCTCCCTACCTCCCCACCCCTACATGGTTTTAGTGAGCTGTGTTCACTCTAAATGTTTACAAGCAGAGCCAACGATTTTAAACGTAGGGGGGGGGGGGGGGGGTTATGGTCCTTAACGAGCTACTTATAGTGTTTTAAAGAAATATTTTCAGTGGCAGTTTTGGTACTGTCGAATTCACAAATTATGAATAACTGAAAAGTAGAAAAACAGCAACTAAATAGCGGCGTATGTTATGCCGCGGGCCGGCTCGTGTAAAGAAAATGACAAGTAACAGCACTAGATTATAGCTGAACCTCTGCAGATTTTAAATGTATTGTTGATTTGGAGAATAGAAAATAATATAATATTTATTTTCAATTAATAAGAAAAGGTATTGGAGAAAAGGTCAGGAAACCCAATACAGAAACTCTAGCCACATTTGACTGAAAGTAGTTTTCCCCTTGTTCTACTTTAGTCTACATACTACAGCCCTACTAAATAACTGTATATATCATAGTGTGGGCCTAGACCTTAGAGATAGGGCCTAGTATATGATATTTTTATTATTCATAGAGCCACATATCCTTTCTATAATATTTATTCAACATGGTCAACAAAGAGTGATAAATATTTATTAGAATACACAAAAAGTCTTTAAAAAGCATGAAATAACTGATAAAATTCTGTTTGAAATATTACTTTTCAAAAAATCAAAGTAGGACAACACATTTTTCAACCTCCTCTCCACCATTCCAGATGACCCCTCCCCTTTCCATGTAAGTGAGTATTGAAGGGAGGAACTGTGGCTGGGGTAAATTGCTTACACCTCTACCTTAGATGTTCATTTGATGAATTGAGATCAAAGAAATGCTTATTAATCTTAAATCAAAACATTATCTTTACCCCTAAGCACTTGTCTATGTTGTAGCTACATTCACCACTTATACAAGATTTCAATAGATATATTTAGCAAACTTCCTAATTGTTACACATGACTGACACTCAGGGTCTCTATACCAAAATGACCAAAACACAAAGACGTTGCCTAATCCACTTACAATCTGTACACCAGTAAACATATATCCTTCCTAATTCCATGGTGAATATTGGTAGATGTGTACTTTTTAGCTCAGAATTGGAAGAAGTCTAAAAATGAACATTGAGGTTATAATGTTGCCCAAATGTTTTATTAAAATGTACGTTCTAATATGTTGAGCAATTGTTGCATAAAACAATGTATGTTCTAAAATGTTGACAAAATGTTGTATTTTATTTTAGCCATTTACACTTGAGTATCATCCATGGCTTGCCAGAGGTGACCATGCAAATCATTGGGTTGGCACCAGACTTGGATTGGTTGAATCAGACCAATAGCCTCTTACAAACACCCTTACACATTGCAGTCATCACAGGACAGACTTGTGTTGTTGGGAGGTTGATGGCAGCTGGGGCAGCACTGGATGTCAGAGACCAGCTTGGGAACACTCCCCTACACAATGCTTGCAGGCTGGGCTTCACAGACATTGTACGGACATTGATCACACCTGGTCATTATGAAGAAACTTTGCAGAACCAGTATGGCATTCCAAATCAGCAGTTTCCCCAAGATTTGGAGTTAAAAAACTATGAAGGTAAATATGGCCATAGCAGTGTCTGTGGTCTCTTGATTAAGCCTAGATGACATTCCCGCACCACCACAAGCACCACAAGAGTGATGGTCTTGTCCCTCTAGCCATCCACAAAATTTGATAAGACTAGGTAGAAGTCTTGTCCCTCTAGCCATCCACAAAATTTGATAAGGTAGAGGTCTTGTCCCTCTAGCCATCCACAAAATTTGATAAGACTAGGTAGAGGTCTTGTCCCTCTAGCCATCCACAAAATTTGATAAGGTAGAGGTCTTGTCCCTCTAGCCATCCACAAAATTTGATAAGACTAGGTAGAGGTCTTGTCCCTCTAGCCATCCACAAAATTTGATAAGACTAGGTAGAGGTCTTGTCCCTCTAGCCATCCACAAAATTTGATAAGACTAGGTAGAAGTCTTGTCCCTCTAGCCATCCACAAAATTTGATAAGACTAGGTAGAGGTCTTGTCCCTCTAGCCATCCACAAAATTTGATAAGACTAGGTAGAGGTCTTGTCCCTTCTAGCCATCCACAAAATTTGATAAGGTAGAGGTCTTGTCCCTCTAGCCATCCACAAAATTTGATAAGACTAGGTAGAGGTCTTGTCCCTCTAGCCATCCACAAAATTTGATAAGACTAGGTAGAGGTCTTGTCCCTCTAGCCATCCACAAAATTTGATAAGACTAGGTAGAGGTCTTGTCCCTCTAGCCATCCACAAAATTTGATAAGGTAGAGGTCTTGTCCCTCTAGCCATCCACAAAATTTGATAAGACTAGGTAGAGGTCTTGTCCCTCTAGCCATCCACAAAATTTGATAAGACTAGGTAGAGGTCTTGTCTCTCTAGCCATCCACAAAATTTGATAAGGTAGAGGTCTTGTCTCTCTAGCCATCCACAAAATTTGATAAGACTAGGTAGAGGTCTTGTCCCTCTAGCCATCCACAAAATTTGATAAGACTAGGTAGAGGTCTTGTCCCTCTAGCCATCCACAAAATTTGATAAGACTAGGTAGAGGTCTTGTCCCTCTAGCCATCCACAAAATTTGATAAGACTAGGTAGAGGTCTTGTCCCTCTAGCCATCCACAAAATTTGATAAGACTAGGTAGAAGTCTTGTCCCTCTAGCCATCCACAAAATTTGATAAGACTAGGTAGAAGTCTTGTCCCTCTAGCCATCCACAAAATTTGATAAGACTAGGTAGAGGTCTTGTCTCTCTAGCCATCCACAAAATTTGATAAGACTAGGTAGAAGTCTTGTCCCTCTAGCCATCCACAAAATTTGATAAGACTAGGTAGAGGTCTTGTCTCTCTAGCCATCCACAAAATTTGATAAGGTAGAGGTCTTGTCCCTCTAGCCATCCACAAAATTTGATAAGACTAGGTAGAGGTCTTGTCCCTCTAGCCATCCACAAAATTTGATAAGACTAGGTAGAGGTCTTGTCTCTCTAGCCATCCACAAAATTTGATAAGGTAGAGGTCTTGTCCCTCTAGCCATCCACAAAATTTAATAAGACTAGGTAGAAGTCTTGTCCCTCTAGCCATCCACAAAATTTGATACGGTAGAGGTCTTGTCCCTCTAGTCATCCACAAAATTTGATAAGACTAGGTAGAGGTCTTGTCTCTCTAGCCATCCACAAAATTTGATAAGACTAGGTAGAGGTCTTGTCCCTCTAGCCATCCACAAAATTTGATAAGGTAGAGGTCTTGTCCCTCTAGCCATCCACAAAATTTGATAAGGTAGAGGTCTTGTCCCTCTAGCCATCCACAAAATTTGATAAGACTAGGTAGAGGTCTTGTCTCTCTAGCCATCCACAAAATTTGATAAGACTAGGTAGAGGTCTTGTCCCTCTAGCCATCCACAAAATTTGATAAGACTAGGTAGAGGTCTTGTCTCTCTAGCCATCCACAAAATTTGATAAGGTAGAGGTCTTGTCCCTCTAGCCATCCACAAAATTTGATAAGGTAGAGGTCTTGTCTCTCTAGCCATCCACAAAATTTGATAAGACTAGGTAGAGGTCTTGTCCCTCTAGCCATCCACAAAATTTGATAAGGTAGAGGTCTTGTCCCTCTAGCCATCCACAAAATTTGATAAGACTAGGTAGAGGTCTTGTCCCTCTAGCCATCCACAAAATTTGATAAGACTAGGTAGAGGTCTTGTCCCTCTAGCCATCCACAAAATTTGATAAGACTAGGTAGAGGTCTTGTCCCTCTAGCCATCCACAAAATTTGATAAGACTAGGTAGAGGTCTTGTCCCTCTAGCCATCCACAAAATTTGATAAGACTAGGTAGAGGTCTTGTCCCTCTAGCCATCCACAAAATTTGATAAGACTAGGTAGAGGTCTTGTCCCTCTAGCCATCCACAAAATTTGATAAGACTAGGTAGAGGTCTTGTCCCTCTAGCCATCCACAAAATTTGATAAGACTAGGTAGAGGTCTTGTCTCTCTAGCCATCCACAAAATTTGATAAGGTAGAGGTCTTGTCTCTCTAGCCATCCACAAAATTTGATAAGACTAGGTAGAGGTCTTGTCTCTCTAGCCATCCACAAAATTTGATAAGGTAGAGGTCTTGTCCCTCTAGCCATCCACAAAATTTGATAAGGTAGAGGTCTTGTCCCTCTAGCCATCCACAAAATTTGATAAGACTAGGTAGAGGTCTTGTCCCTCTAGCCATCCACAAAATTTGATAAGACTAGGTAGAGGTCTTGTCTCTCTAGCCATCCACAAAATTTGATAAGACTAGGTAGAGGTCTTGTCCCTCTAGCCATCCACAAAATTTGATAAGACTAGGTAGAGGTCTTGTCCCTCTAGCCATCCACAAAATTTAATAAGACTAGGTAGAAGTCTTGTCCCTCTAGCCATCCACAAAATTTGATAAGGTAGAGGTCTTGTCCCTCTAGCCATCCACAAAATTTGATAAGACTAGGTAGAGGTCTTGTCCCTCTAGCCATCCACAAAATTTGATAAGGTAGAGGTCTTGTCCCTCTAGCCATCCACAAAATTTGATAAGACTAGGTAGAGGTCTTGTCCCTCTAGCCATCCACAAAATTTGATAAGACTAGGTAGAGGTCTTGTCCCTCTAGCCATCCACAAAATTTGATAAGGTAGAGGTCTTGTCCCTCTAGCCATCCACAAAATTTGATACGGTAGAGGTCTTGTCCCTCTAGCCATCCACAAAATTTGATAAGACTAGGTAGAGGTCTTGTCCCTCTAGCCATCCACAAAATTTGATAAGGTAGAGGTCTTGTCCCTCTAGCCATCCACAAAATTTGATAAGACTAGGTAGAGGTCTTGTCCCTCTAGCCATCCACAAAATTTGATAAGGTAGAGGTCTTGTCTCTCTAGCCATCCACAAAATTTGATAAGGTAGAGGTCTTGTCCCTCTAGCCATCCACAAAATTTGATAAGACTAGGTAGAGGTCTTGTCCCTCTAGCCATCCACAAAATTTGATAAGACTAGGTAGAGGTCTTGTCTCTCTAGCCATCCACAAAATTTGATAAGGTAGAGGTCTTGTCCCTCTAGCCATCCACAAAATTTGATAAGACTAGGTAGAGGTCTTGTCCCTCTAGCCATCCACAAAATTTGATAAGACTAGGTAGAGGTCTTGTCCCTCTAGCCATCCACAAAATTTGATAAGGTAGAGGTCTTGTCCCTCTAGCCATCCACAAAATTTGATAAGGTAGAGGTCTTGTCCCTCTAGCCATCCACAAAATTTGATAAGGTAGAGGTCTTGTCTCTCTAGCCATCCACAAAATTTGATAAGACTAGGTAGAGGTCTTGTCCCTCTAGCCATCCACAAAATTTGATAAGACTAGGTAGAGGTCTTGTCCCTCTAGCCATCCACAAAATTTGATAAGACTAGGTAGAGGTCTTGTCCCTCTAGCCATCCACAAAATTTGATAAGACTAGGTAGAGGTCTTGTCCCTCTAGCCATCCACAAAATTTGATAAGACTAGGTAGAGGTCTTGTCCGTCTAGCCATCCACAAAATATGATAAGACTAGGTAGAGGTCTTGTCCCTCTAGCCATCCACAAAATTTGATAAGGTAGAGGTCTTGTCTCTCTAGCCATCCACAAAATTTGATAAGGTAGAGGTCTTGTCCCTCTAGCCATCCATAAAATTTGATAAGACTAGGTAGAGGTCTTGTCCCTCTAGCCATCCACAAAATTTGATAAGGTAGAGGTCTTGTCTCTCTAGCCATCCACAAAATTTGATAAGACTAGGTAGAGGTCTTGTCCCTCTAGCCATCCACAAAATTTGATAAGACTAGGTAGAAGTCTTGTCCCTCTAGCCATCCACAAAATTTGATAAGACTAGGTAGAGGTCTTGTCCCTCTAGCCATCCACAAAATTTGATAAGACTAGGTAGAGGTCTTGTCCCTCTAGCCATCCACAAAATTTGATAAGGTAGAGGTCTTGTCCCTCTAGCCATCCACAAAATTTGATAAGACTAGGTAGAGGTCTTGTCCGTCTAGCCATCCACAAAATTTGATAAGGTAGAGGTCTTGTCCCTCTAGCCATCCACAAAATTTGATAAGGTAGAGGTCTTGTCCCTCTAGCCATCCACAAAATTTGATAAGACTAGGTAGAGGTCTTGTCTCTCTAGCCATCCACAAAATTTGATAAGACTAGGTAGAAGTCTTGTCCCTCTAGCCATCCACAAAATTTGATAAGACTAGGTAGAGGTCTTGTCTCTCTAGCCATCCACAAAATTTGATAAGGTAGAGGTCTTGTCCCTCTAGCCATCCACAAAATTTGATAAGACTAGGTAGAGGTCTTGTCCCTCTAGCCATCCACAAAATTTGATAAGACTAGGTAGAGGTCTTGTCTCTCTAGCCATCCACAAAATTTGATAAGGTAGAGGTCTTGTCCCTCTAGCCATCCACAAAATTTAATAAGACTAGGTAGAAGTCTTGTCCCTCTAGCCATCCACAAAATTTGATACGGTAGAGGTCTTGTCCCTCTAGTCATCCACAAAATTTGATAAGACTAGGTAGAGGTCTTGTCTCTCTAGCCATCCACAAAATTTGATAAGACTAGGTAGAGGTCTTGTCCCTCTAGCCATCCACAAAATTTGATAAGGTAGAGGTCTTGTCCCTCTAGCCATCCACAAAATTTGATAAGGTAGAGGTCTTGTCCCTCTAGCCATCCACAAAATTTGATAAGACTAGGTAGAGGTCTTGTCTCTCTAGCCATCCACAAAATTTGATAAGACTAGGTAGAGGTCTTGTCCCTCTAGCCATCCACAAAATTTGATAAGACTAGGTAGAGGTCTTGTCTCTCTAGCCATCCACAAAATTTGATAAGGTAGAGGTCTTGTCCCTCTAGCCATCCACAAAATTTGATAAGGTAGAGGTCTTGTCTCTCTAGCCATCCACAAAATTTGATAAGACTAGGTAGAGGTCTTGTCCCTCTAGCCATCCACAAAATTTGATAAGGTAGAGGTCTTGTCCCTCTAGCCATCCACAAAATTTGATAAGACTAGGTAGAGGTCTTGTCCCTCTAGCCATCCACAAAATTTGATAAGACTAGGTAGAGGTCTTGTCCCTCTAGCCATCCACAAAATTTGATAAGACTAGGTAGAGGTCTTGTCCCTCTAGCCATCCACAAAATTTGATAAGACTAGGTAGAGGTCTTGTCCCTCTAGCCATCCACAAAATTTGATAAGACTAGGTAGAGGTCTTGTCCCTCTAGCCATCCACAAAATTTGATAAGACTAGGTAGAGGTCTTGTCCCTCTAGCCATCCACAAAATTTGATAAGACTAGGTAGAAGTCTTGTCCCTCTAGCCATCCACAAAATTCGATAAGGTAGAGGTCTTGTCCCTCTAGCCATCCACAAAATATGATAAGACTAGGTAGAGGTCTTGTCCCTCTAGCCATCCACAAAATTTGATAAGACTAGGTAGAGGTCTTGTCTCTCTAGCCATCCACAAAATTTGATAAGGTAGAGGTCTTGTCTCTCTAGCCATCCACAAAATTTGATAAGGTAGAGGTCTTGTCCCTCTAGCCATCCACAAAATTTGATAAGGTAGAGGTCTTGTCCCTCTAGCCATCCACAAAATTTGATAAGACTAGGTAGAGGTCTTGTCCCTCTAGCCATCCACAAAATTTGATAAGGTAGAGGTCTTGTCTCTCTAGCCATCCACAAAATTTGATAAGACTAGGTAGAGGTCTTGTCCCTCTAGCCATCCACAAAATATGATAAGACTAGGTAGAAGTCTTGTCCCTCTAGCCATCCACAAAATTCGATAAATTAGAGGTCTTGTCCCTCTAGCCATCCACAAAATATGATAAGGTAGAGGTCTTGTCCCTCTAGCCATCCACAAAATATGATAAGACTAGGTAGAGGTCTTGTCCCTCTAGCCATCCACAAAATTTGATAAGACTAGGTAGAGGTCTTGTCCCTCTAGCCATCCACAAAATTTGATAAGACTAGGTAGAGGTCTTGTCCCTCTAGCCATCCACAAAATTTGATAAGACTAGGTAGAGGTCTTGTCCCTCTAGCCATCCACAAAATTTGATAAGACTAGGTAGAGGTCTTGTCCCTCTAGCCATCCACAAAATTTGATAAAGTAGAGGTCTTGTCCCTCTAGCCATCCACAAAATTTGATAAGGTAGAGGTCTTGTCCCTCTAGCCATCCACAAAATTTGATAAGGTAGAGGTCTTGTCCCTCTAGCCATCCACAAAATTTGATAAGACTAGGTAGAGGTCTTGTCCCTCTAGCCATCCACAAAATTTGATAAGACTAGGTAGAGGTCTTGTCCCTCTAGCCATCCACAAAATTTGATAAGACTAGGTAGAGGTCTTGTCCCTCTAGCCATCCACAAAATTTGATAAGACTAGGTAGAGGTCTTGTCCCTCTAGCCATCCACAAAATTTGATAAGACTAGGTAGAGGTCTTGTCCCTCTAGCCATCCACAAAATTTGATAAGACTAGGTAGAGGTCTTGTCCCTCTAGCCATCCACAAAATTTGATAAGGTAGAGGTCTTGTCCCTCTAGCCATCCACAAAATATGATAAGACTAGGTAGAGGTCTTGTCCCTCTAGCCATCCACAAAATTTGATAAGGTAGAGGTCTTGTCCCTCTAGCCATCCACAAAATATGATAAGACTAGGTAGAGGTCTTGTCCCTCTAGCCATCCACAAAATTTGATAAGGTAGAGGTCTTGTCCCTCTAGCCATCCACAAAATTTGATAAGGTAGAGGTCTTGTCCCTCTAGCCATCCACAAAATATGATAAGACTAGGTAGAGGTCTTGTCCCTCTAGCCATCCACAAAATATGATAAGACTAGGTAGAGGTCTTGTCTCTCTAGCCATCCACAAAATATGATAAGACTAGGTAGAGGTCTTGTCCCTCTAGCCATCCACAAAATGGACTTGCTGTACAAAGAGTGTGAACACTGTAAGTAGATGGTCCTCTCCATATGACATTTGGATGATTTTATGATGACCCTCCATATGACATCTAGCTGATGTCATGATGGCCCTCGCCATATGACATCTAGCTGATGTCATCAACCAGAGATGGCTAATGAAATGTTTTGAATCAGGTCTGACTTGCCTCCACCTTGCTGCTATTGGAGAACATGTGGATGTTATGCAGCTGTTACTGGCTGCAGGAGCAGACGTCAATCAGCCAGAGGGCAAGAGTGGACGCTCTGTCTTACACTTGGCTGCAGAGTGGGGAAACCTCAACATGCTGCGCTTTTTACTTTCATTTCAAGAGACCCACATTGATGCACAAACTTATGCAGGACTAACACCTATTCTGCTGGCAGTGGGGCGTAAACATGAGGACATTGTGAAGGAGCTTTTCAAACACGGAGCACTTTTAGAGAGACTATCATTGAGTGATGATTCTGACATTTCAGATGATGAAATGGTGAGTAGCGCATTTCTTTTAAAAACTTGTTTTACTCATGCTGTTTGGATGTGACAACTTGTTTTACTAATGCTGTTTGTATGTGACAACTTGTTTTACTCATGTTGATTGGATGTGACAACTTGTTTTACTCATGCTGTTTGGATGTGACAACTTGTTTTACTCATGCTGTTTGGATGTGACAACTTGTTTTACTCATGCTGTTTGGATGAGACAACTTGTTTTACTCATGCTGTTTGGATGTGACAACTTGTTTTACTCATGTTGATTGGATGTGACAACTTGTTTTACTCATGCTGTTTGGATGTGACAACTTGTTTTACTCATGCTGTTTGTATGTGACAACTTGTTTTACTCATGTTGTTTGTATGTGACAACTTGTTTTACTCATGTTGATTGGATGTGACAACTGACTCATGTCTTACTGTAACTTATTTGGCCAGAATGGAGATGCATCAGAATACAGAACATTTGGACTCTACCAACCAAAGTTGTGCCAGAATACATGTGGGTAGCCCAGCTTTAGCAGTCGGCTGGGATCCAGATGAACAGGACTACTCTGGAGGTTGAATGTGAAGCTGGCAGATGACCAGTACCAAATGAGACACCATCTTGTTGGCATCCCAAGATGTCACTCAGTAAATAAAAAGGTGTTGGCCTGTTCTCAAACATTTATTTAGCACCTACTGTAGAGCAAGCAAGCTACTGTTCTCATTGTATATATGTACAGAGGGCTCTGGTGTTTGTTGTAGAGGACAGTCCTAAGGCTTGAGCTCTTGTAAGCATTCTAGAGAAATAGATCTAAAAATAAACCTAATCTTAGATTCTAATTATTGAGTTCATTTTTATACCACCTTGTTAGTTTTACACAAGTTATCAACAACCAGAGGTTTTAGTTGTACAGAAATTACTCAAAATTTGAAAGAAGGCAGAGAATTAGATCTTTTACTGGTGAAATTTCATTAATCTATCTGAAAAAGAACAGTACTCAGGTTACAGGCTTTAGAAAAATTGAAAGTAGAAGTTCCACTTCTGGTTACCGGAACTCGCAGAAAAGTTGATACAGAACTACAAATTTGATATAATACTTATATATGAAATTTCATCCTAACTGTTCCGGTACTCAAGTTATCGTGTTCACAGACATACGGACAGAATTGCAATGCCCAGTTTTTCAGACGAGATTACGTATAGAACACCAAATTTTTTATAAATCTGCACTTACTATTTTTGCCAGATTAAAAAAGTCACCTATACTCCAAATATGATGACATTGTTGAAGTACTGAGGTGTAAAATGATGAAAACTGTCAAAATTTCATGTCATTTTTGTGCACTATTACAATACTTCCTCTATACTCTGTATACTAGAAAGTAAAAATGTAAAGTACTGAAGAAAAAGAGCCCCCCAAACAAAATGGAATTTATATAGAAAACATACTTTTACCAGTATCTGCCCCCCCCCCCCCCCCCCCCCGGGAAAAAAGTCTGGAAGACACACATAAACTACACACACAGATATATTGACAAAATTGCATAACTGTTTTTCCGACTCAGGGAGGTGTAAAACGTCGAGATTTGCAAGAATTTCGATTTTTTTTTTTTTTTTTGCACGATTACAATACTTTCTCTATAATTTGTATACGAGAAAGTGATTAAAGGACGGAAAAAAATTCATAAAACGCGTTTTAATAACAAGCTTTTATATACTAATGCACTAAAAAGTAGATAACACGTGTTTCTTATAATATATAGTAATACACTACTATTTATATAACTAAAAATTAAAAGCTTGGGTCGCTTCCTATTATTAGTGAAAGTATCCAATATATTATAAAGGGGCCCACGCTTTTCTTTATAGTTATACTAGGCATACTGCCTAGCTTCGCTTAGGTTTTTAAATAACATTTGAGAATTTGAATACTTAATTATTTAGCGATGGATTTGGTGTTGAGTGCTTTAATTTAAACAGTAATGCTAACTTTAGAAAAAAAAATGTTTTAGTTTGTCATTTAAATACCGTTCTCAGAGAAATATCGGAAAGTACGCAATGTATAAGTAAAATTGAATTAGAACTACACAGCTTCCATGAACAGTACATCTCATAGTTTTTATTACATTGCCTTTTAAAATTTATTTATTTATTTAATTGGGATACGTAACTAAATTAACAACTTAATTTTGTACTAAAACAAATGCTATACTTCGTCATTTTCTGTTTCTGTTTAAAATAGTATACAATTATTTGAAAAAAAATAATTTAAAAAACGTTACCTCCCTTGAAAACTGAACGTATGACGTATGTCTTTGTTTTTTTTTACAAACAGTTGCTATGCTTATCTAAGAAATTACGGTATATGAACATATTTAACAACTATAATGGCTGTTTCCGACGGGATTAAAGTTTTTTTGTTAGCCTCCAGGGTCTGTCTACGACGTCACATAATATTAAGGGGATCGTTCGTCAATTTATTTATATATATATCTCATATAAGGAGAATTTCACTCAAGATCATCTTTTAGCCCTCGTCGAGGGCTTTGAGTCTGACCAACAGTTTTTCCATACGGCCTAGTCATCTATAGTAGTGTATGCAAAAAATTAGCCAGATATACTGAGTTTAAGTACCCTAAAGTCTGCGTTGAAATGACCCTCTGTTTTTCCCATAAAATACAAAGATTATATAGGGAAATACAACTGGTCAGTTTTGACCGCTTTACGAAGTTTTCCCAGATATGCCGAGTTTTTTGTGACACCCCTAGGTGTTCTTCTACCACCTCACAAAATATCAAGGGGGGTCGTCGGAGGAAATTTTTTTTCGTAATAGAGCTCATATAAAGAGAATTTCACTCACGGTCACTTTTTAGCCCTCGTCGAGGGCTTTGAGTGTAACCGACAGTTTTACCTAAAGGTCAAGCCATTGACCTAGGAGCATGCAAAAAATTAGCCAGATATACTGAGCTTAAGTACCCTAAAGTCTGCGTTGAAATGACCCTCTGTTTTTCCCATAAAATACAAAGATTATATAGGGAAATACAACTGGTCAGTTTTGACCGCTTTACGAAGTTTTCCCAGATATGCCGAGTTTTTTGTGACACCCCAAGGCGTTCTCCTACCACCTCACAAAATATCAAGGGGGGGTCGTCGGAGGAAATTTTTTTTCGTAATAGAGCTCATATAAAGAGAATTTCACTCACGGTCACTTTTTAGCCCTCGTCGAGGGCTTTGAGTGTAACCGACAGTTTTATCTAAAGGTCAAGCCATTGACCTAGGAGCATGCAAAAAATTAGCCAGATATACTGAGCTTAAGTACCCTAAAATCCGCGTTGAAATGACCCTCTGTTTTTGCCATAAAATACAAAGATTATATAGGGAAATACAACTGGTCAGTTTTGACCCCTTTACGAAGTTTTCCCAGATATGCCGAGTTTTTTGTGACACCCCAAGGCGTTCTCCTACCACCTCACAAAATATCAAGGGGGGTCGTCGGAGGAAATTTTTTTTCGTAATAGAGCTCATATAAAGAGAATTTCACTCGCGGTCACTTTTTAGCCCTCGTCGAGGGCTTTGAGTGAAACCGACAGTTTTCCCTAAAGGTCAAGCCATTCACCTAAGAGTATGCAAAACATTAGCCAGATATATTGAGATTAAGTACCCTAAAATTCGCGTTGAAATGACCCTCTGTTTTTCCCATAAAATACAAAGATTATATAGGGAAATACAACTGGTCAGTTTTGACCCATTTCCCGATTTTTCCCGGACATGGCGAGTTTTTTGTGACACCCCAAGGCATTCTCCTACCACCTCACAAAATTTCAAGGGGGGTCGTCGGAGGAAAATTTTTTTCGTAATAGAGCTCATATAAAGAGAATTTCACTCGCGGTCACTTTTTAGCCCTCGTCGAGGGCTTTGAGTGAAACTGACAGCTCTGCCCTACGACCAAGCCATTTACCTATAAACATGCCAAAAATTGGCCAGATGTAAAGAGGGTAAGTGCCCTAAAATCCGTTTTGAAATGACCCTCTGTTTTTCCCATAAAATACAAAGATTATATAGGGAAATACGACTGGTCAGTTTTGACCCATTTCCCGATTTTTCCCGGACATGGCGAGTTTTTTGTGACACCCCAAGGCGTTCTCCTACCACCTCACAAAATATCAAGGGGGGTCGTCGGAGGAAATTTTTTTTCGTAATAGAGCTCATATAAAGAGAATTTCACTCGCGGTCACTTTTAAGCCCTCGTCGAGGGCTTTGAGTGAGACCGACAGGTCTGCCCTACGTTCAAGCCATTTACCTATAAACATGCCAAAAATGAGCCAGATTTAAAGAGGGTAAGTGCCCTAAAATCCGTTTTGAAATGACCCTCTGTTTTTCCCATAAAATACAAAGATTATATAGGGAAATACGACTGGTCAGTTTTGACCCATTTCCCGATTTTTCCCGGACATGGCGAGTTTTTTGTGACACCCCAAGGCATTCTCCTACCACCTCACAAAATTTCAAGGGGGGTCGTCGGAGGAAATTTTTTTTCGTAATAGAGCTCATATAAAGAGAATTTCACTCGCGGTCACTTTTTAGCCCTCGTCGAGGGCTTTGAGTGAAACTGACAGCTCTGCCCTACGACCAAGCCATTTACCTATAAACATGCCAAAAATTGGCCAGATGTAAAGAGGGTAAGTGCCCTAAAATCCGTTTTGAAATGACCCTCTGTTTTTCCCATAAAATACAAAGATTATATAGGGAAATACGACTGGTCAGTTTTGACCCATTTCCCGATTTTTCCCGGACATGGCGAGTTTTTTGTGACACCCCAAGGCGTTCTCCTACCACCTCACAAAATTTCAAGGGGGGTCGTCGGAGGAAATTTTTTTTCGTAATATAGCCCATATAAGGCGCCGGTCAGTCGAGGTCAGTTTTGACCCCTTCTCCGTAGACTTTTCGGCAAACCGTCACCGGCGCTCGTGTTCTATCGCCCCAAGGCACCATCGTGCCAATTTTGACGCGCCTGCGGCGCCGGGAAGTGCCCTAACGGGCACTTGACCACTTTGCTTTATATATATAGATAAATAGTAGTGTATTATTATACATTAAACGAAACTTGTTTTTATATACTTTTTAGTGCATTAGTATATAAAAGCTTGTCATTAAAACGTTTTTTATGAATTTTTTTAAAAGTTGAAGGAAGCATTGGACCAGGGGCGGAACTACAGTGCCGCCATAACCTGCAATGCGGTGGTGCCCAGGTCGTTTAGGGGCCCCCACAGCCGACCATAATTAATCTTTGATAGTTAAAAAAAATATTTTTCTTGCATTTTTGACTTGATGGATGCTTTGTAAAAAGAATACTGTAGCTACGGTTTGATTATCTTTATTCTATGAGACACCAGTCGGAGTCCTCTTTATCCTACAATCAAATACACGCTGTTGACGGCAAAATTCTTTTGAAAATAAATAACAAAGTCCATTCGCGAGAGGCCGCTAGATATTAAAACGACTTTTGCTTCTTTATAGTATTGGGCCCACAATCCATTGTGATTTTATAATGCAAATGTTCGTTTGTTGTATTGTTAGAAATACTTTTCTGTACTATTTCGATTTTACGTACGTTTTCTTCTTTTTTTTTACAAACAAATACGATAGAAAACGTGTATAATTTGAATTCTCTTCCTTCAGTATTTCACAATAGGCTTTAGGAAAAGTAGTTGAGACCATCCCAACTTCGGTCAAATTTGGGAAGATAAAAAAATCTTATGAGCGACCATAGCTTTTTAAAAAAAAAACAAATATTTTAAAAAAAAGTTTCTAATAGCAAGCTTTTAAATGTATTGAAAATAAGAAAACTAGTTTGCTTTCTTTCATAAAAGCTTTGGTTGCTAAAATATGTAAAAGATTTCATGAGTATATCAAAGTTCTTGTTTTCCTTGCACTTCCAAGAACAATTTAATTTCATCTTTCAATTCAAAAACACGATTCACCACATTTCCTTTTGACAGCCAGCTTACTTTGCACAGTTCTTTAAACAGACGGGTGTTTAGGGCTCCAGATTTAATATAATTTACGACTTTTATTAGCACTGGAGTCGAAAGATTCTTGCTGACGAGGGCATACCGGCTATGGAGCTAAATCTTTTACTTTTGACCCAACATGACGCACCATCCGTACGAGCCCCACAGCCGTTTTCCCATTTTAATCCTCCAGTTTCAAAAAACGTATTCATTTTCTTCATTGTCCATATGTTCACAAAATATCAACTCTTCTTTGCTATCATCTGAATGAATATATTTCACAAAGACAATCAACTGCTAACACGAACTCACTTCTGTTAATTCATCAACTTGAAAATAAAACTATGGCGAAAGTTTTATTTAATTCAAAATCTGTTGTTTAACATCTACGGACATGTCTGATATATGTCGCTGAATAGTATTATTAGACAGAACTATTTGTTGCATCTTTACTGCTCTAGAATACTCAAGAATTAATTTCACCATCTTGAACATGCAGAGTTTGATGAGATTTCCTCCTATTGTGTGAGAGGTTTTATTGCTTGGCAATTTCTAATGCGTCCTCAAATGCTGTTTTCTTGTTGAAAACTTCCTGTTCGACCACGTTTCTGACGTTTGCAACTAGCTTCATGTCGACGAAATAACTCCATATCTTTTTAAGCGCAATTTCCATACTGACATTTGCGATTATTAATTCGTTATTTCTGGATGGATGTGTGTCCGCAGCTTTAAGTCGTATCTCCTCCTAAACGAAGCAATATCGAGGACTAGTTCCAAAGCAAATATGTTAAGCAAGTTCCGAGGATGATTGTGGGCCAAAAAAATTCCCGGAATTCCTTCCTGGATTTCCCGGAAAAGGCAAAAAAAACTCGAAAAAATGCAGTTTTTGGCCCATATCTCGGCAACCAGACGACTTAGCGACTTGAAACATTTACCAATCGATTCCTGCCATAATTTAGACCAATATTGCCGAAGAAAGTTTTCAAAAATATCCTTTCGTTCGGTCACAAAAAAATAATTAAGGAAATTGCGCTTACATTGTCACTAGACTTTTTATTAACTTGTTTTTGGTGTGTTCCGAATGACTCGTCTCAAAATAACGTCTCATAACTGAAAACAACTTTACACAGTACGCTTTGTCTATTCTCTGTTCCATTTCCAGTGATGTTAGTAAAGCCGAATTTCAGAATTTTTTTTTCTAAATATTTATGTTTTTTTTTTCAATTGCTAGGGTTTAGTCTACCAGTTGGCCAGCCCCCAGAAAGCCCTTCGCGACCCCCCCCCCCTCTCGGGTGGGGGGGGGGGACGACGACCCATGCTTTGGATCTTAATCTTACTTAGAGTATTGTTAAAATTTAAAAAATTTTACACAGAAGAGGGGAGTAGATGAAACAAAAACAATCCTAATAAACTGGGAGTGATCTCCCCTAAACTTTCTCGAATCTATATATATAATTCTCCTCTTCGAGCCGTTAGAAAACAAGCTGCAAACGCTCTCCCTACCTCCCCACCCCTACATGGTTTTAGTGAGCTGTGTTCACTCTAAATGTTTACAAGCAGAGCCAACGATTTTAAACGTAGGGGGGAGGGGGGGGGGGGAAGGAAGGGGGGGGGGTTATGGTCCTTAACGAGCTACTTATAGTGTTTTAAAGAAATATTTTCAGTGTCAGCGTTGGTACTGTCGAATTCACAAATTATGAATTATTGAAAATTAGAAACAACTAAATAGCGGCGTATGTTATGCCGCGGGCCGGCTCGTATTCTAATAATATAAAACTACGAGGGATGGCAACTCAGGACATAGACAATATTTGTAATCCATTTTAAATTACTTAAACTTTTTATAATAGAAAGGAATCTCGTAAAAAAAAAAGAATTGCATACCAAGTGAACGCCTAATAAAATGTGCATAATAGTGCGGGATATTATTAGTACTTTATAAATTTACGTGCGTTTTTTTGAGAAATCGGAAATAGCGTAAATTAGTACTTTCGTTCAACGGAAATTACTCAAAATTTGACAGAAGGTAGAGAATTAAATCTTTTACTTACATGTGAAATTTCATTTATCTATCCGAAATAGTACTCAAGTTATAGGCTTTTGAAAAATTCAAAGTAGAAAAAGTACCCCTTCCGGTTATCGGAAATCGCTCAAAAGTTGAAACGGATCTACGATTTTGATCAAATACTTATATATGAAATTTCATCAACCTAGCTGTAACGGTACTCAAGTTATTGTGTTTACACACAGACACAGACACATAGACATACGGACAAGATTGCAATTTTTTTTGCACGATTACAATACTTTCTCTATACTTCGTATATACGAGAAAGTAAAAATACTAGGCCTAAGGGGTCGTCCATAAAGTACGTCACACTCCTAGGGGCCGCGGGGGGGATGTCAGAAAGTGTGACAATGGGGAAAGGGAGATAACAATTGTCAAAAAAAAAGCGTGACGTCGTATAAAGATGACCCCCCCCCTCCCCAGCGCATAGCCTAGATCCAGTGGCGTCGCGAGGTCGGACTCGTGTGTCAACCGGTGCGGGACTTCATGGTGTTACCCCCCCCCCCCCGAAAAAATCATATATAAATACATAGAAAGTTATATATATATATATATATATATATATATATATATATATATATATATATATATATATATATATATACATAGTTCTTATATATAGTTGCAATTGGTACCATCCCCTTCCCATTTTGCCTAACAGCATTGATTTGTGCGTACAATCCACCTATTAAAAATATTAATTCATGTAGAAAAAGCATCGTTTTCATCGTAAATTACTAGATTTTGGTGTCACCCCCTCTACTGTTGTTGATTGAATTATCTGTAAAATACTCAACAAGCCTTTATTCCTCTCTAAATTTTGCAGTTGGTGTCAAACCCCCTCCCCTCCCCCGGTGAGAGTTTTAAAGTGTGCACAGTTAATAGTAAAGATGTTTATCTATTGTCAGATATTAAATCAGGTGGATTAACTTATTTATCATTAATTGAACTGGTAAAAAGCATTTTTCTTCTAAATTTTGCAATTTTTCGGCATGTTGTAACCCCCAAAATGGTGTCACCCGGTGCGGTCCGCATCCCCCACCCACCCACCCACCCCGCCTCACGATGCTCCTGCCTAGATCTAGATATAGATAAGCATTCTAAAAAATATGAACTGCAGTAAGTGAAAAATGAAAATAACTTATAGGTCTAGATCTAGTCATAGCATAAGTAAATTAAAGAAACTACAACTAGTCTATAGCTCAGCCCTTATATTTAGGCATAGGCCTATCCAACATTTAAGGGGTTGCACTCTTCGCAAACGAAAAAAAGCGCTCATTTGCAAAAAAAGATAAAAGCAGTTAGGCGTCATTTTCTGAAAGAACTGAAACATAATTCTACTATTCTAGATTAGATCTAGAATCAGAACCTAGCCTATAATATAGATTACTAGCCTATTGGGCAGTATTTAGATAATTAAACATTTTAGCTTCGTTTGTATGTCTAGAATCTGGAAAGGTTTATACGGTTAATTGTAAGCCATGTGTTGTTCTATGTTCAGTTGTTGAATGTACAGATTAAAAAATAAAATACTTAAAAAAAATAGTAATAGGCCTAGTACTAGATCTAGTAGGCTAGATCTAGATTTAATCTAGATCTAGTAAAAATCATATTAAAATCTCTTCAATCTATTCTACTATTCTAGATCTAGATCTAGAATTCTAAATCGGCTAACTAACTATAACTAACTACTAACTAGTACGGTACATTGGTAAAACCTTAGTTTAGCGTCGGAAATTATCGGGTAATGTTTCTTGGGTTTCGGTAACTAGAGTTACGGTAAACCATGGTTTATTTGACCATTGAAATATAAATAAATTGAAAGTCGATTGTAGTAAATTAATGTTTTAATTTTTTAAGTTTAATCGACAAAAGGAAACAAGAATAAATATAATAGTAGATTTAAATTAGTAGATCTAAAAATAAAAAAATAAAAACATATTAGGCCTAATATAAATATAAATAATGAAGTCAAATGTAATAATTTAATGTATTTGGCACTATTTGGCTTGCAGCGGATTTGCGACCATTAATTAATTAGATCTAGTTCTAGCTAGATATCTAGCTGCTAGGCCAAGTAAAAAAAATCTAGATTACAAAAATAGTAAAAATGATTAGGCCTACAAAATGTAAAAATGATTACATAAATAAATCTATCCAAATTTTAAACATTCTGTATAAAAATAAAAGATGACGCCAAATAAAGTATGGTTTACAGTACTTCCGGTGAATTCCGGAAGTGTGTGACAGACTTTGTCATTGTTTTACTGTTTTTTACTGCTATACGATTCTGGAATAATAACCGACGCTAAACTAAGGTTTTACCACTAGTACTAGATCTAGATCTAGAGTCTAACTAAATCTACTCTTCTAGATCTAATTAATAATTAACTTATAGGCCTAATTCTGAGGCTAATAAAATAAAATTCTAATAAAATTTACAAAGTACTAAGTATAGGACTATAGGCCCCTAGGGTAATCTATCATTTTAGGTACGTAAAATCGCCCACGACTAGTAATGTGAAAAACAGGTGACTCCTTAACTTTTAATAATTATTTCACATTTTGAGGAGGATTTATGTTTTGAAAAATACAAAAATGTTTCCTTGATTCATTTATATACCTGTTTTTAAACAACTAAATTAAAACTTTTCAGTAATAAATGAAGACTAGTGATGTTTCCAACAGATGCAACCATGCTCATTTACTATAGTAGCCATCTTGTTTATTTTTTTTTTATTGTAAACTTATAGCGCAAGATTCAGGGGAAGCCACTCTAACTTACAGATGGCCGCTTTTTATATAGCAAATCCTGTTCGCAAACACTGCTGTTTAAAGTTAATTTCTTGCCTATATTGATATATTTAGCCATTGATTTAGGTTTATTATTCATGTATCTATAATATTTGACACAAATATATCACAATATACTTCTATTAAAGCCTTGACAATGAGGTAACTTTTTTGTACATTACTAGCCGTGGCCGATTTTACGTACCTAAAACGATAGATTACCGCCCCTAGCCCTAACCTAAGTTGTAAGGCAATGTATGAATGTAAGGGCAAGGACTTACTCATGACATCTATTCGGTAAAACTCCCATTTTAGCATATTTTAATCCCCGCTTCACTTTCACCTCCAGTTGAGGGTATTTTGTTATAAGCACAACCGAAACACACACAAACGTTAGGAAATTACTCGGCCTATTTCTATATGAATTTTTGGTTTAGTTTTTAAAATTAATTTTGTCAAAACTGGAGAAAAATTCAACATTTCTGTGCCCTTACTGAATTTTTCAGAACACATAATTATTCCTCAGAATTTTGCACTATTTTCTGTTTTATATTTATAAAAACTCGTAAAAAAGTAATTAAAAATGTTGCAGCTCTTTAAATGAAACATACATCTCCCGAGTGTGATTTCTTTACCTTTAATCCTGCATGCACTGTAGTCTACTTATAGCCTAATTTATCTACCAGTATTTTAACACATCCAAATTTACTTTTTCTCTCAGCTTCTATTTTGTTTCACAACCTCAACTTAATATTGAAATTCTTGCAAAAGGTGACTTTGAGGACTTAACTAACCTGCCCCGCCTTGTAGCAATGTGTTTGTTACTTCTTGTTTGGGGAAAAATAAAAATGACGTCACAACCAATCTCAAATAGCTATGTTACTTCTATGACATATATTATAGGTCTACTGATTTCGTAACAAACGTAAACCCAATGTGACCCAGACAGTGTCTTGTTTGTGGAAGAAACAAATATAATCCGACTATTTTATTAAGTTTACAGCTATTTCCAAAAGCAAAAATAACAATGTGGCTCTGCTATCAAAATGATTAATTTTGGTTTCTTTCAATGGTTTTCAAATATAAATTCCAAAACACTTTTTGTATTAAAAAATCAGACCATTTCTAATTTTGTCTATTGTTTAGATTTTATTTTCCTTCTCATGAGCTAAAACTTTCAAATTACAATTAATTTAAATCTAGGCTCTTAACAGTTGAAGACTTGCATTATTAACATGCCAACCTTTAAAAGAATATAACTTAAATTATAAGGCATAATTTAAGATTGGAAACAATAGTACAACTAGATCATTACAGTTTTAATTAGCTAAATGTTAACAGAAAACATTTCCCTTTTTGTTAAATTGTAACATTTGATTTTTTTAAAAAGTTGTGTATAAAGTGAACATAAACCTACCTTTTAACTCCTAGGCGGAGTATTAATAATCTAATATTTAAATTTCTAATGGGGTGCGTCCAGGAGTGAGATTTTTGTCAATACACAGTTTGGCGCCCAGAGTTCCAGAGTGTCTATCTTAGCACTTGGTATCCTTTAATCAGGCCCCCTGCATAGCAGGTAAGGGGTACTACTGTAGTCAGCATTAAAACTTTAATAGGAGCAGCCGCCAGTGCCCAGGCTATTGCGCCCGAGCTCCTCTATGACCCTTATGGCGCATACGTTATCTTTTTAAAAGCAAAATTGAATCATCCGCATTCGCGGACGCTATAGCGCCTATGTCTGCCGGCACACCGGTACAATTTGGCGCCCTTTGCTATCCTGTGGGCACAATGGCTCCTACGATTGTTTTAAGGCGCACCCTAAAATATTGACAATGTGGCACACAACATTTGATGATCAAACCGAGCCAGGGGCTGTAGTAGTGTAATTGGGGGCTCACGAGAGCGCTACTCTACATCCCAGATACTTAGGTGGTGCGTGGTTAACGCCCCATGGCATGCTGGGTGGTAGTGTAGGTAAACTCGTGCTCAGATAAAAGTGATCAGAGCACAGGCAGTGTTTTGCATTTAAATAACTCGGTTTTAGAAAACAAGGTCACGCATCTAAGAATATAATTTTTAAAGCATTGATCAAACCCTCCAAATATATTTCGTCAGACTTTATTTTTCTTTTATGTATTACTACACCTTTCATCTCTTTGCCATTAAACTTTGGGCTGTTGACAATAGTCCTGCGGAGGTTTCTGCGGAAAAAACATTTTTAGACTTCGCACAAGCGGCGCAGTTTGGCGCACTGGGCTATCCCATGAGCGCTATGGCATCTACGGTCATTTAAATAGTGCGATCGATTATGGGTGCCATTTGCCCCAGGCTATCGTCGGACAAAGTGGAGCACGACTACTTTTATTATCAATTCCCATCTGTAGAAATACCCATATGTCTGCATATCAGTTAATATTTAGTAATTTAATTATTATCACTACTATTTATTTTCATCTAAATTTTACGTTTCCCCATTATCACTTAATCCAAAGGCATCCACAAACGAACACAAAAGTCATGTAGCAGCGTCAAAATCAAGAAAATTTTGACGCGTTTAAAAAAATTTCTTAAATTAGTCAAGCCTGTTGCTTGACCTAATTTTATTATACCGTCGTCATGGTAATGATGGCTGCTGAAAAGAACAATAACGTGATTCTATTTTTTATCAATCTTTTATGGCATTTCAGAAACAGTTACTTACAGTCGTTATTTTTATGGTATCAACGATAACTATCTAGTTTTAACAATGATGATTAGTGTTTGATGCAAACTTGCCAATTGTACATTATTTTGGCCCAATCGCTGATTATCAAGCATTAATTTAAACAGAATTGTGCGGAGTAAAAATACCTTAAAAAAATAACTTGACCAAGACAACAGCCAACAAAGCCCGCCATTTTGCCCGCCATGCATTTGAATGGGAAGAAATCTAGCAGACAACACAATTCTGCTGAACAGTCAATTGCATCACAACAACACCTTTTAAAAACCAACCCAGCTTATAAGTCGTAGCATCGTAGCCATTTTAAAATAAACACGTTTTTAAAAAAAAAATTGGTATCAAATTAAAGGTAAATAAATGTAGTTTTTAAATGTTTAAGTCATCTTGAAGCATAATGCAGTTTAAAATCTTAGTCGCCACCCTTATATAACCCATGCCCTATTTCAAATGCAAAAAATAAAACATGAAGTACTTGTCCAAAAAAAATTTCCAGTTTTTTCCCCATGGTCTGGTCACATCCCTGTTCGTTGTAGTAAATTTTATGATAAAAGTAGCATCGATGTTAAGAGGGTAGGTGCTGGAAAAAAACTTCTTAATTAATAAGCCTCGTTTATTTATTAGTGTGAATCTACAGTAAACACTCTTCAAATTTTCAAAATTTTATGGTGAAATACCATTAAAATGAATGCCAAATTTCTTGGTAATTGACCATTTAGTGAATCTGTTTTGAGCAGCTGATATGTCTGACAGCCACTATTTGTATGTTGACAGTGAAAGCATGGCAGGCATTACCCTGCAGGAAGTTGGGGGTGACCTGGTCATACCAGTTCTCAATGAGTCAACAGTCATTGGCCGCGGTCAGTTTCTTCAGGTCAGTCTTCTCCTCCATCTCCTCCATACTTGCACAAATTGTATATATTCCATGCACGTCTAGACTGGGGTGGCTTGCCAGAATAGCTGTTGTAGTGGGCCTGTTAGTGTTTGATTTTTTAAATTACGCATTTCAATGTTTGTTTTGTTGTTAGTTATTGTGTAATGTATGGGGGGGAGCTGGGGTCGGGGAGTTAACGTTTTATATTGCTTTAGTTGAGCTAATTTTAGCCTATTATAAAAATAACATAGCCAAAGCCAGGCTATCTTCCAGCTGCAGCAATGTTGAGTTGATAGTTGGTCTTTATTCATACTCTGACCTGGAGATTTTCTTTGGTTTGTATCAAGGTCTTGTTAATCTAAGCAACATCTCACTCATACATGCTAATCTTCTAATTAGTATGTGTAAATGTTCTAATTAATAAGCATTCTAATGAATACATGGAATTATCTAAATAGGTGACAGATAAACGCGTTTCAAGAAGTCATGCATTGTTGGAGATGACGGATGGTAAACTGTACATCACACCGGTAGGTAATGTAGGACTGACACCATTGTAGGGCTGACACCATTGTAGGACTGACACCATTGTAGGACTGACACCATTGTAGGGCTAACACCATTGTAGGACTGACACCATTGTAGGGCTGACACCATTGTAGGACTGACACCACTATAGGACTGACACCATTGTAGGACTGACACCATTGTAGGACTGACACCATTGTAGGACTGACACCACCATAGGACTGACACCATTGTAGGACTGACACCACCATAGGACTGACACCACCATAGGACTGACACCATTGTAGGACTGACATCATTGTAGGACTGACACCATTGTAGGACTGACACCACCATAGGACTGACACCATTGTAGGACTGACACCACTATAGGACTGACACCATTGTAGGACTGACATCATTGTAGGACTGACACCATTGTAGGACTGACACCACTGTAGGACTGACACCACCGTAGGACTGACACCATTGTAGGACTGACACCATCGTAGGACTGACACCACCATAGGACTGACACCACTATAGGACTGACACCATTGTAGGACTGACACCATTGTAGGACTGACACCATTGTAGGACTGACACCACCATAGGACTGACACCACCATAGGACTGACACCACTATAGGACTGACACCACTATAGGACTGACACCATTGTAGGACTGACACCACCGTAGGACTGACACCATTGTAGGACTGACACCACCGTAGGACTGACACCATTGTAGGACTGACACCATTGTAGGACTGACACCTCTATAGGACTGACACCACTGTAGGACTGACACCACTGTAGGACTGACACCATTGTAGGACTGACACCATTGTAGGACTGACACCATTATAGGACTGACACCATTGTAGGACTGACACCACTATAGGACTGACACCACTATAGGACTGACACCATTGTAGGACTGACACCATTGTAGGACTGACACCACTGTAGGACTGACACCACCATAGGACTGACACCACTCTAGGACTGACACCATGTAGGACTGACACCATTGTAGGACTGACACCACTATAGGACTGACACCATTGTAGGACTGACACCACTATAGGACTGACACCACCATTGGACTGACACCATGTAGGACTGACACCATTGTAGGACTGACACCATTGTAGGACTGACACCACTGTAGGACTGACACCATTGTAGGACTGACACCATTGTAGGACTGACACCACTGTAGGACTGACACCACCATAGGACTGACACCACTATAGGACTGACACCACTATAGGACTGACACCACTCTAGGACTGACACCATTGTAGGACTGACACCACCATAGGACTGACACCAATGTAGGACTGACACCATTATAGGACTGACACCACCATAGGACTGACACCACTGTAGGACTGACACCACCATAGGACTGACACCACTATAGGACTGACACCACTCTAGGACTGACACCATTGTAGGACTGACACCATTGTAGGACTGACACCACCGTAGGACTGACACCAATGTAGGACTGACACCATTATAGGACTGACACCACCATAGGACTGACACCATTGTAGGACTGACACCACTATAGGACTGACACCACTATAGGACTGACACCATTGTAGGACTGACACCATTGTAGGACTGACACCACTGTAGGACTGACACCACCATAGGACTGACACCACTCTAGGACTGACACCATGTAGGACTGACACCATTGTAGGACTGACACCACTATAGGACTGACACCATTGTAGGACTGACACCACTATAGGACTGACACCACCATAGGACTGACACCATTGTAGGACTGACACCATTGTAGGACTGACACCACTGTAGGACTGACACCATTGTAGGACTGACACCATTGTAGGACTGACACCACTGTAGGACTGACACCACCATAGGACTGACACCACTATAGGACTGACACCACTATAGGACTGACACCACTCTAGGACTGACACCATTGTAGGACTGACACCATTGTAGGACTGACACCATTGTAGGACTGACACCACTATAGGACTGACACCACTATAGGACTGACACCACTATAGGACTGACACCACTATAGGACTGACACCACTATAGGACTGACACCACTGTAGGACTGACACCACTGTAGGACTGACACCATTGTAGGACTGACACCATTGTAGGACTGACACCACTATAGGACTGACACCACTGTAGGACTGACACCATTTTAGGACTGACACCATTGTAGGACTGACACTACCATAGGACTGACACCATTGTAGGACTGACACCACTATAGGACTGACACCACTGTAGGACTGACACCACCATAGGACTGACGCCATTGTAGGACTGACACCACTATAGGACTGACACCACTATAGGACTGACACCATTGTAGGACTGACACCACTATAGGACTGACACCACTGTAGGACTGACACCACCATAGGACTGACACCATTGTAGGACTGACACCATTGTAGGACTGACACCACCATAGGACTGACATCATTGTAGGACTGACACCACCATAGGACTGACACCACCATAGGACTGACATCATTGTAGGACTGACACTACCATAGGACTGACAGCACTATAGGACTGACACCATTGTAGGACTGACACCACTATAGGACTGACACCACTGTAGGACTAACACCACTATAGGACTGACACCATTGTAGGACTGACACCATTGTAGGACTGACACCACCATAGGACTGACATCATTGTAGGACTGACACCACCATAGGACTGACACCACCATAGGACTGACATCATTGTAGGACTGACACTACCATAGGACTGACAGCACTATAGGACTGACACCACCATAGGACTGACACCACCATAGGACTGACTGTAGACTGGCAGCACTTGATTTGTTTCAGACACACACCAACCCATGTTTTTTAAGAAGCCACTCCAGCAAGGAGCAAAAAGTTTTAGCACGAGATGCCAGGCAGCTGCTGGAGCACGGAGACGAGTTTGGTCTCTTGCCAGACCAGCTCTTCTACAAGGTCTCCTACCCTCAGATCAATGGCAAGGATAGGTAGGTTAGTTGCTGGGATGAGTTTGGTCTCTTGCCAGACCAGCTCTTCTGGGTTAATGGGCTGCTAGGTGGGTGGGTTGCTGGATGGGCCTGCTAGGTGGGTGGGTGGGTGGCTGGATGGGCTGCTAGGTGGGTGGGTGGCTGGATGGGTTGGTAGGTGGGTGTATGGGCGGGGTGGATGGGCTGGTGGCCCCTATATAAAAATCTTTGGTGGTCTCGGAAAGGTGCTGTAATATTCCGATTAGTGTTTTGGTGGTATTTCTTTTTTTTTACCTTTCCTTCATGCCAACGCATAACAATCAGGCTTGGAGAAAGAATGCAGGATGAAAATTTCATTCTAGGGTTGGGTGCTCCTATTTAAATTTCCTGGACCATATCCAGTCCACCTTTGTGGGCTAGTACGGTTATATGATGGTCAGGTGGACAGGTGGGTTGGTAGAGTGGTGGGTTGGTAGAGTGGTGGTCAGGTAGGTTGGTAGAGTGGTGGACAGGTGGGTTGGTAGAGTGGTGGACAGGTGGGTTGGTAGAGTGGTGGACAGGTGGGTTGGTAGAGTGGTGGACAGGTGGGTTGGTAGAGTGGTGGACAGGTGGGTTGGTAGAGTGGTGGACAGGTGGGTTGGTAGAGTGGTGGACAGGTGGGTTGGTAGAGTGGTGGACAGGTGGGTTGGTAGAGTGGTGGACAGGTGGGTTGGTAGAGTGGTGGACAGGTGGGTTGGTAGAGTGGTGGACAGGTGGGTTGGTAGAGTGGTGGGCAGGTGGGTTGGTAGAGTGGTGGGCAGGTGGGTTGGTAGAGTGGTGGACAGGTGGGTTGGTAGAGTGGTGGGCAGGTGGGTTGGTAGAGTGGTGGACAGGTGGGTTGGTAGAGTGGTGGACAGGTGGGTTGGTAGAGTGGTGGACAGGTGGGTTGGCAGAGTGGTGGACAGGTGGGTTGGTAGAGTGGTGGGTTGGTAGAGTGGTGGACAGGTGGTGGTGGGCTTGTGGTCCCTAACCTTGTCTTTCTATCTCAGGGGTGAAGGGTCAGCATCTGAAGACAACACAAGTAGAAGAGATGAGAGTGTGTCCAATGGTCAAGTTCAGGAAGCCTCAGACAAAGGTAAGCTCTGTCCACTTTTGGTTTAATCTCTGTCCACATTTGGTGTAATCTCTGTCCACATTTGGTGTACACTCTGTCCACATTTGGTGTACACTCTGTCCACATTTGGTGTACACTCTGTCCACATTTGGTGTACACACTGTTCACATTTGGTGTACACTCTGTCCACATTTGGTGTACACTATGTCCACATTTGGTGTAATCTCTGTCCACATTTGGTGTAATCTCTGTCCACATTTGGTGTACACTCTGTCCACATTTGGTTTAATCTCTGTCCACATTTGGTGTACACTCTGTCCACATTTGGTGTACACACTGTTCACATTTGGTGTACACTCTGTCCACATTTGGTGTACACTCTGTCCACATTTGGTGTAATCTCTGTCCACATTTGGTGTACACTCTGTCCACATTTGGTGTACACTCTGTCCACATTTGGTGTAATCTCTGTCCACATTTGGTGTAATCTCTGTCCACATTTGGTTTAATCTCTGTCCACATTTGGTGTAATCTCTGTCCACATTTGGTTTAATCTCTGTCCACATTTGGTGTACACTCTGTCCACATTTGGTGTACACTCTGTCCACATTTGGTTTAATCTCTGTCCACATTTGGTGTACACTCTGTCCACATTTGGTGTACACTCTGTCCACATTTGGTTTAATCTCTGTCCACATTTGGTGTAATCTCTGTCCACATTTGGTGTAATCTCTGTCCACATTTGGTTTAATCTCTGTCCACATTTGGTGTAATCTCTGTCCACATTTGGTGTAATCTCTGTCCACATTTGGTGTACACTCTGTCCACATTTGGTGTACACTCTGTCCACATTTGGTTTAATCTCTGTCCACATTTGGTGTTAGCTGTGTCCACATTTGGTGTACACTCTGTCCACATTTGGTGTACACTCTGTCCACATTTGGTACACACTCTGTTCACATTTGGTGTACACTCTGTCCACATTTGGTTTAATCTCTGTCCACATTTGGTGTAATCTCTGTCCACATTTGGTTTAATCTCTGTCCACATTTGGTGTAATCTCTGTCCACATTTGGTTTAATCTCTGTCCACATTTGGTGTACACTCTGTCCACATTTGGTTTAATCTCTGTCCACATTTGGTGTTAGCTGTGTCCACATTTGGTGTACACTCTGTCCACATTTGGTGTACACTCTGTCCACATTTGGTACACACTCTGTTCACATTTGGTGTACACTCTGTCCACATTTGGTGTACACTCTGTCCACATTTGGTGTACACTCTGTCCACATTTGGTGTACACTCTGTCCACATTTGGTGTACACTCTGTCCACATTTGGTGTACACTCTGTCCACATTTGGTGTACACTCTGTCCACATTTGGTGTACACTCTGTCCACATTTGGTGTACACTCTGTCCACATTTGGTACACACTCTGTCCACATTTGGTGTTAGCTGTGTCCACATTTGGTGTACACTCTGTCCACATTTGGTGTACACTCTGTCCACATTTGGTGTACACTCTGTCCACATTTGGTGTACACTATGTCCACATTTGGTGTACACTCTGTCCACATTTGGTGTACACTCTGTCCACATTTGGTGTACACTCTGTCCACATTTGGTGTACACTCTGTCCACATTTGGTGTTAGCTGTGTAGAGGTTTAATTATTATGGGTCATCTATTTATGATGTGCACAAAAATTTGGGATTTTAGACCCCCCTCCCTCAGTCCAGTCCACACGCATCCACTTTCAACGAACCCCCCCCCCCCCCCCCCCCTTGAACATCTCAATACATGCTGGAAAATTACTAATTCATGTCCATGCTATGTGTACATTAACTAGTAATGTAATATAGGTATTTGATATTTTCGGTAACATCTATTACTAGTCATAAATAATAATTGGGAGCTAAACTTTTCCAAGATGTCCGTATGTCTACGGCATGTTAACTTACCGTGTAAATGTGCTAAGACAATCTAAAATTGTTCTTTATTGAAAGAGTGAGCGCGCATGAATGCTGTGTACCCTGCCTCTCGATTTTAAAGGCTTTTCCCACTATTTGTTATAGAGAGTCAGAGATCGCAGGCAGTCATGCATCTTTTTTATATTATACATACGCTGATATTTAAATATCTAATTGCAACGTGGTTATTTTGAGTTTTTTACTTGAAAAAAATGATTAGATATACATCATCATAGGCTTTGACACAAAATAATGATGTAAGCCTACTATGATTTAGTTACAATTGTTTGAAATGTTTAAAAATAAACATGAAATAACCCTAAATTGTTTTAGAAAATTGTTGCATTTACAGCCCCTTCCGATTGTAAAAAAAAAAAAATCGCTTTTTTTCTTAGGCGGGTGGTAAACAGCTACATTACTGACACATTTACCACAAGAACTGCCGATTTAATGTATAATCTTCATTTTATATGCATTTTTAAAACTTATTTTTTAAATGATCAAATTTAAGTATTTTGTGGTTTAATTCCGCGTGTGGACGACCACATTGACCTGAACCCTTTTCTCCCCCCCCCCCCTGTCCACAAAAGTCAATTTTTTTCTGATCCCCCCCCTTCCGTGTGGTCATCATAAATGGATGACCCCTTATTGTAAGCCAAAAACAGGATTGTTGTAAACTGTCAACATTTGATGTCAACTGTCAACATTTGATGTCAACTGTCAACATTTGATGTTAACTGTCAACATTTGATGTCAACTTTTTAAAACAGATTCTGAAGCAAGTCAAGAAGCTCCACAGGCTGTGGGTGACAAAAAGGTTAGTCCTTAATCTGTCACATGACATCCCATAGGTCAGTCCTTAATCTGTCACATGACATCCCATAGTTTAGCCATTAATCTGTCACATGACATCCCATAGGTTAGCCCTTAATCTGCCACATGACATCCCATAGGTTAGCCCTTAATCTGCCACATGACATCCCATATCTTAGTCCTTAATCTGTCACATGACATCCCATATCTTAGCCCTTAATCTGTCACATGACATCCCATATATTAGCCCTTAATCTGCCACACGACATCCCATAAGTTAGTCCTTAATCTGTCACATGACATCCCATATCTTAGCCCTTAATCTGTCACATGACATCCCATAGGTCAGTCCTTAATCTGTCACATGACATCCCATAGGTCAGTCCTTACTCGGCCACATGACATCCCATATCTTAGCCCTTAATCTGCCACATGACATCCCATATCTCAGTCCTTACTCGGCCACATGACATCCCATATCTTAGCCCTTACTCTGCCACATGACATCCCATATCTTAGCCCTTAATCTGCCACATGACATCCCATATCTTAGCCCTTAATCTGTCACATGACATCCCATATCTTAGTCCTTAATCTGTCACATGACATCCCATAGGTCAGTCCTTAATCTGTCACATGACATCCCATAGGTCAGTCCTTAATCTGTCACATGACATCCCATAGGTCAGTCCTTAATCTGTCACATGACATCCCATAGGTCAGTCCTTAATCTGTCACATGACATCCCATAGGTCAGTCCTTAATCTGTCACATGACATCCCATAGGTCAGTCCTTAATCTGTCACATGACATCCCATAGGTCAGTCCTTAATCTGTCACATGACATCCCATAGGTCAGTCCTTAATCTGTCACATGACATCCCATAGGTCAGTCCTTAATCTGTCACATGACATCCCATATCTTAGTCCTTAATCTGTCACATGACTTCCCATAGGTCAGTCCTTAATCTGTCACATGACATCCCATAGGTCAGTCCTTAATCTGTCACATGACATCCTCTTCCTCCCCTTCCCCAATTAATGTCACACCTCAGTGTATTGTGGCTTACTATTTCTTTCTACAATATTTACTGGCACCATCAGATCTATGCTTTTGTCCAGGTGGTGACACCATCAGATCTATGCTTTTGTCCAAATGGTGACACCATCAGATCAATGCTCCATTTGGTGACACCATCATATCAATTCTCCAGGTGGTGGACCAACCTGATGAAAAGGTGACACCAGACGAGCAAGACAAAAAGGTGACGCCAGACGTACCTGATGAGGAGATGGCTAAGCCAGTTGACAAGAAAAGACCCCTACCAGACTGGATGTTGAAGGCAGCAGACACAAAGCCTGCACATACAAAACCTGCGGCTAAAAAAAAATCTGGTGAGGCCATCATGACAGGTTTTACACTGATGCCACATGACAGGTTTTACACTGATGCCACATGACATGTTTTACACTGATGCCACATGACATGTTTTACACTGATGCCACATGGCATGTTTTACACTGATGCCACATGACATGTTTTACACTGATGACACATGGCATGTTTTACACTGATGACACATGGCATGTTTTACACTGATGCCACATGACATGTTTTACACTGATGCCACATGACATGTTTTACACTGATGCCACATGGCATGTTTTACACTGATGCCACATGACATGTTTTACACGGATGCCACATGACATGTTTTACACTGATGCCACATGACATGTTTTACACGGATGCCACATGACATGTTTTACACTGATGCCACATGACATGTTTTACACTGATGCCACATGACATGTTTTACACGGATGCCACATGACATGTTTTACATGTGACTTGGTTGTGTCACAAGGTTGTGACTTGTCCGATCAGATTTAAAGCTGCAACCATTAATTACATTTTCTCCCCTTTTTTTAGCAGCTTTTAGATTTTACTCATTTAAAAAAACACCCAGAAATAACCTTTATGTAAACAGCCTTTATGGAAACAGCGGACATATGCATTCCACAAATTACTATTTAAATCAAGTATTACTGTTGGCCTATGGATATTAAATCTAGGTCAAGATTGTATTTTTTCACTCCATTCAAACAGACAATACGCACATTTTTTTTAATTGACTGATTACACCACTTTTTAAAATAAATAGTAATCTGTTTCTAATTACAACTAACCTAGTAAATTTTAATTTCCATAACATGAGCTGAAACTTTTTTATGTCTCCTTGATCTGATTATATCCCTGACTGATGCAATATGACCATTTTTATGTCTCAGTGACCAAACATGAGGTAGAAGAAGAGGAGGAAGAGGAGGATAGCAAAGGAAGAGAAACCAAAGAAAGTGAGGAGGACTACGAGGTGTCAGATGACGACTATGTGCCAGAGAAAAGCTCAAGAAGAGGCAAAAGAAAAGCTAGTGAAGAGAGCGAGGAAGATGTGAGTGATGACGACTACTCCCCCAGGGCGCGTAAGGCCAGCAAAGGAAGGAGGAAGCCTGTCAAGACACCAGCAAGGAAAACTAGGAGGAGAGGCAAGAACCAGTCTGATGAGGAGCTGCCTCGCAGGAAGGCAGGGCTGGAAGAGTCCCCCACCAGGCGACCACAGAGGGCAGCAAGGCAGAAGAGAGGCAGCTATGGTAGGTGCTTAGGGCACATCACCACCCTCACAGCAGAGAAAATGTAGTAGCACCTGATATGTGACATTATTAACATCAATGTTTTCTCAGTGGATGACCCAATGATTGAAGAAGCACTAGAGGACTTTGCTTCAGACAATGATGATGATGGTAATGAAGATAAAGACAGTGACTTTGAAGTGGAAGGAGAAGAGGATTCAGGAAGTGATTGGGAGAAAAGTAAATCTCAGAAACCCAAGGTTGGTTAGTTCAATGTTTGCCAGGTTGGCTGGTCAGTGCCTGTCAGGTTGGCTGGTCAGTGCCTGCCAGGTTGGCTGGTCAGTGCCTGCCAGGTTGGCTGGTCAGTGCCTGCCAGGTTGGCTGGTCAGTGCCTGTCAGGTTGGCTGGTCAGTGCCTGTCAGGTTGGCTGGTCAGTGCCTGCCAGGTTGGCTGGTCAGTGCCTGCCAGGTTGGCTGGTCAGTGCCTGCCAGGTTGGCTGGTCAGTGCCTGCCAGGTTGGCTGGTCAGTGCCTGTCAGGTTGGCTGGTCAGTGCCTGCCAGGTTGGCTGGTCAGTGCCTGCCAGGTTGGCTGGTCAGTGCCTGCCAGGTTGGCTGGTCAGGTTGGCTGGTCAGTGTCTGCCAGGTTGGCTGGTCAGTGCCTGTCAGGTTGGCTGGTCAGTGCCTGCCAGGTTGGCTGGTCAGTGTCTGTCAGGTTGGCTGGTCAGTGTCTGCCAGGTTGGCTGGTCAGTGCCTGCCAGGTTGGCTGGTCAGTGTCTGTCAGGTTGGCTGGTCAGTGTCTGCCAGGTTGGCTGGTCAGTGCCTGCCAGGTTGGCTGGTCAGTGCCTGCCAGGTTGGCTGGTCAGTGCCTGCCAGGTTGGCTGGTCAGGTTGGCTGGTCAGTGTCTGCCAGGTTGGCTGGTCAGTGCCTGTCAGGTTGGCTGGTCAGTGCCTGCCAGGTTGGCTGGTCAGTGTCTGTCAGGTTGGCTGGTCAGTGTCTGCCAGGTTGGCTGGTCAGTGCCTGCCAGGTTGGCTGGTCAGTGTCTGTCAGGTTGGCTGGTCAGTGTCTGCCAGGTTGGCTGGTCAGTGCCTGTCAGGTTGGCTGGTCAGTGCCTGTCAGGTTGGCTGGTCAGTGCCTGCCAGGTTGGCTGGTCCGTGCCTGTCAGGTTGGCTGGTCAGGTTGGCTGGTCCGTGCCTGCCAGGTTGGCTGGTCAGTGCCTGCCAGGTTGGCTGGTCAGTGCCTGCCAGGTTGGCTGGTCCGTGCCTGCCAGGTTGGCTGGTCAGTGTCTGTCAGGTTGGCTGGTCAGGTTGGCTGGTCAGTGCCTGCCAGGTTGGCTGGTCAGTGTCTGTCAGGTTGGCTGGTCAGTGTCTGCCAGGTTGGCTGGTCAGTGCGTGTCAGGTTGGCTGGTCAGTGTCTGCCAGGTTGGCTGGTCAGTGCCTGCCAGGTTGGCTGGTCAGTGCCTGTCAGGTTGGCTGGTCAGTGCTGTACTAAATAAATGAAGCATCTAATCTACTGTTGACCCACCAGCCAAGCAGGGCCAGCAGAAGTAAGGGACCTCCAAGAGGAGCCACAAAAAAAGGTAAGAAGAGGTCCAGCCGTAGAGCCAGCTCTACTCGTGAAGACTCTTATGGAGAGGACGTGATGGAGGATGATGAACCTTATGTGCCACGCCCATCTAAACGTAGGGCTGGCACTCGGGACTCGGATGATAGCGAGGACGGAAATAAAAAGAAAAGGAAAAGAGAACCTTGCCAGTATGGCCAGAAGTGTTATAGGTGAGTTGTCCCAGGTACACATGTTTAGAATTGTCCCAGGTACACATGTTTAGAATTGTCCCAGGTACACATGTTTAGAATTGTCCCAGGTACACATGTTTAGAATTGTCCCACAGATGTTTAGAATTGTCCCAGGTACACATGTTTAGAATTGTCCCAGGTACACATGTTTAGAATTGTCCCAGGTACAGATGTTTAGAATTGTCCCAGGTACACATGTTTAGAATTGTCCCAGGTACACATGTTTAGAATTGTCCCAGGTACACATGTTTAGAATTGTCCCAGGTACAGTTGTTTAGAATTGTCCCAGGTACAGATGTTTAGAATTGTCCCAGGTACACATGTTTAGAATTGTCCCAGGTACACATGTTTAGAATTGTCCCAGGTACACATGTTTAGAATTGTCCCACAGATGTTTAGAATTGTCCCAGGTACACATGTTTAGAATTGTCCCACAGATGTTTAGAATTGTCCCAGGTACACATGTTTAGAATTGTCCCAGGTACACATGTTTAGAATTGTCCCAGGTACACATGTTTAGAATTGTCCCACAGATGTTTAGAATTGTCCCAGGTACAGATGTTTAGAATTGTCCCAGGTACACATGTTTAGAATTGTCCCAGGTACACATGTTTAGAATTGTCCCACAGATGTTTAGAATTGTCCCAGGTACAGATGTTTAGAATTGTCCCAGGTACACATGTTTAGAATTGTCCCAGGTACACATGTTTAGAATTGTCCCAGGTACAGTTGTTTAGAATTGTCCCAGGTACAGTTGTTTAGAATTGTCCCACAGATGTTTAGAATTGTCCCAGGTACACATGTTTAGAATTGTCCCAGGTACACATGTTTAGAATTGTCCCAGGTACACATGTTTAGAATTGTCCCAGGTACACATGTTTAGAATTGTCCCACAGATGTTTAGAATTGTCCCAGGTACACATGTTTAGAATTGTCCCAGGTACACATGTTTAGAATTGTCCCACAGATGTTTAGAATTGTCCCAGGTACACATGTTTAGAATTGTCCCAGGTACACATGTTTAGAATTGTCCCACAGATGTTTAGAATTGTCCCAGGTACACATGTTTAGAATTGTCCCAGGTACACATGTTTAGAATTGTCCCACAGATGTTTAGAATTGTCCCAGGTACAGATGTTTAGAATTGTCCCAGGTACACATGTTTAGAATTGTCCCAGGTACACATGTTTAGAATTGTCCCAGGTACAGTTGTTTAGAATTGTCCCAGGTACAGTTGTTTAGAATTGTCCCACAGATGTTTAGAATTGTCCCAGGTACACATGTTTAGAATTGTCCCAGGTACACATGTTTAGAATTGTCCCACAGATGTTTAGAATTGTCCCAGGTACACATGTTTAGAATTGTCCCAGGTACACATGTTTAGAATTGTCCCACAGATGTTTAGAATTGTCCCAGGTACACATGTTTAGAATTGTCCCACAGATGTTTAGAATTGTCCCAGGTACACATGTTTAGAATTGTCCCACAGATGTTTAGAATTGTCCCAGGTACAGATGTTTAGAATTGTCCCAGGTACACATGTTTAGAATTGTCCCACAGATGTTTAGAATTGTCCCAGGTACACATGTTTAGAATTGTCCCACAGATGTTTAGAATTGTCCCAGGTACACATGTTTAGAATTGTCCCACAGATGTTTAGAATTGTCCCAGGTACAGATGTTTAGAATTGTCCCAGGTACACATGTTTAGAATTGTCCCACAGATGTTTAGAATTGTCCCAGGTACAGATGTTTAGAATTGTCCCAGGTACACATGTTTAGAATTGTCCCAGGTACACATGTTTAGAATTGTCCCAGGTACACATGTTTAGAATTGTCCCACAGATGTTTAGAATTGTCCCAGGTACACATGTTTAGAATTGTCCCACAGATGTTTAGAATTGTCCCAGGTACACATGTTTAGAATTGTCCCACAGATGTTTAGAATTGTCCCAGGTACACATGTTTAGAATTGTCCCACAGATGTTTAGAATCATGCACTTAACTGTTTTAGGAAAAACCCAGTACACTTCCGTACTTATTGTCATCCTGGTGACTCCAGCTTTGATGAAGAGGAACAAGAAGAAAGTTGTAAGGAAAGCAGCAAGTAAGTCAACACATAGTCTTATAGAAGAGATTAGGGGAGATCACTCCTTCCTACTTTATTTTGTAACCAAGTTACGTTACCAATTCTGATTTAAAAATATGATAAAGAACATAGGCCTGAAAATCACCTTGATAATTTGCTAGAAAAAAACAATGTATAATCACAAAAAATTTAACAACTTCTACTTTGCTAAAGAGCAGTTTATAAATTTTGACACTTGCAGCTTATATTCATTTTGTACTTTGTGAGAAAGCCAAGGTTCTCACAAACATCAATAGTGGCAATTTTCAAACAGTGGAGCAGTTGTCCTCAACCCTTTCTACTTGCTTTTAAACAGAGAAAGTATTAGAATCAATTCAACCCTTTTAAACAGAGAAAGTATTAGAATCAATTCAACCCACTTGCTTTTAAACAGAGAAAGTATTAGAATCAATTCAACCCTTTTAAACAAAGTATTAGAATCAATTCAACCCACTTGCTTTTAAACAGAGAAAGTATTAGAATCAATTCAACCCTTTTAAACAGAGAAAGTATTAGAATCAATTCAACCCACTTGCTTTTAAACAGAGAAAGTATTAGAATCAATTCAACCCTTTTAAACAGAGAAAGTATTAGAATCAATTCAACCCACTTGCTTTTAAACAGAGAAAGTATTAGAATCAATTCAACCCACTTGCTTTTAAACAGAGAAAGTATTAGAATCAATTCAACCCACTTTCTTTTAAACAGAGAAAGTATTAGAATCAATTCAACCCACTTTCTTTTAAACAGAGAAAGTATTAGAATCGTGATAAATGAGAATTCAGACTTCCCAACCTGTTTAAACTCGAGACTTATTTGGTTTAGCAGGGGGTCGGCGTGGTCGAGTCTGTTAAGCTCATGGTTGCTAAACCGAAAAGTCTCGAGTTCGAACCCTCGGGCAGATGAGGCTCGTTAGCTGGGAACAGCCACTCTTCTAGGAGAGACAACTCCAAAATCAAACAACTGCTGCCTTGTTGTTTGTTCTTGGTTGGAAAAAGGCTATGGAAGCAAATCCAAAAAGAAAAGCAGGCTGAAATCGGAGCCAATGGCCACAATGGCGCTTAATGACAGCTTACATGTTATTAAAAAGTAGCATGAGACCCCCCCCCCCCCCCCGCCAATAAAAACCATAGAAGAACAAACGCTGAAGGCTTCGTATGTAATATAAAATATAAGTAAGAGCTAAGACCTAGATCTACCTAGTAAAAGTCCTTGTTACTCTTACTAAGTTCTTAGTTTTAGTAGTTCTACTTTTATAAGATAGTACTATCCAGATCTAGAAATTAACGTTATTAGGAAACTAAAACGTATGCCAAAGGGAGGTAATCGCTTTCCCCTGCTTTTAAAAAAATTCAATTACTTTTCTTTATTAATTATTTAAAAAAACAAAAAAAATAGGACAAACTTCGGCAAAAACGGGAGGATACAATTTTTTGCCTTGTAGTAGGCATGTCTGAGATTTCGACATTATAAAGGATGCAAACAACAAAATCTAGATTGTCAAATTGACGTTTATGACCTTCCGGAGCCGGCAAAGTTTTTTCAATCCTGTATTAGCGTGTATGTAAACATGACTTATTAAATCATTTCCGGTGCTACTTTATTTAGATGGGAACTGAGTACTATTTCATTGAGATAGAGGAAATTGAGCTGCAATACCCAGAAGTGGTATTTTACTCTCAGATAAAACAAGTACAGTTACAGTTACCAAAACAGATGCACAAGATGTTATTTGCTTGGTTCTAAGTTTGAGTGATTTGGTTTCCTGGGACCAGACCCATGCTACACCCATTTGTTCCAAGCTTTTAATACAGGTCTAGACTCGTGACAATTCACTCGGACTTAATTAGCTGTTTAACTTTTTAAAAATTAGTACTTATGGAGACTGGTTTGTTGTCTGCTCAATTATGCACAGGTTGCGCGATTCTTTATGCTAAGATTTTTTTTTTAAAAAGTAGCTTAAAAATTTGGATTAGCCAGTCTGAAAGTGTCTTCTCCCTAACTTTTATAGACAAACCAGAAGTTTTGGGAAGAGCCCTCTCATTATTTGATGTGGAATTTTATGATTAAAATTTAAAATAGGCTGGAAGAATATGGTTCTTGCAACATGTAAAAACTTATTTCTACCACAAAATATTTGCTTTTAAAAACCAGGAAAGATTCAAGTAAAGTTGGTCAAGAAAAACCCAGCAGACCCCAGCGAAGTACAGCAGGTAATCATTTGTATGTCCATTAGCTGGGCAGGTAATCATTTGTATGTCCATTAGCTGGGCAGGTAATCATTTGTATGTCCATTAGAGTTTATTTGGGCAGGTAATCATTTGTATGTCCATTAGCTGGGCAGGTAATCATTTGTATGTCCATTAGAGTTGGTGGGCAGGTAATCATTTGTATGTCCATTAGAGTTGGTGGGCAGGTAATCATTTGTATGTCCATTAGCTGGGCAGGTAATCATTTGTATGTCCATTAGAGTTGGTGGGCAGGTAATCATTTGTATGTCCATTAGAGTTTATTTGGGCAGGTAATCATTTGTATGTCCATTAGAGTTTATTTGGGCAGGTAATAATTTGTATGTCCATTACAGTTGGGGGGCAGGTAATCATTTGTATGTCCATTAGCTGGGCAGGTAATCATTTGTATGTCCATTAGAGTTTATTTGGGCTCACCATTTTGCAGGAACCAGACTAGTGACCCATGACCTGCCTGATGGGGGGCAACTCTCTGACCAGTCTCCTCAAGACTCCAATGAAGAGGAAGATGATTTAGCAGATGGCAAGAAGACCAAATGTGTAGACCAGGATTGATGCGTGTGGACCTGGAATCTCAGACAAGCATTTATTGTACATACAAACTATCACTATACATAGAGATTGGCTTTGTAAAATATACATTTACACCCCCCTCCTAATTTTTATCTAGAATTAATATACATGGTAAAAAAGCTGTCAGTTGTTGTATATATGTTGGTTGGTGTCAATGTTTTGTACTCGGTATTGTATCTTTCTATTTTTAGAACTGTAAGCAACTAATGGTTGCCTTTTAGATGGACATAAAACATTGAATAAAATAGAATAAAACAATTGGTTCATTTCTTTATTTCTTGTCTGCAAGTGTATATCAAAGTCTTACAAGAATTGGTTGTACAAGAAAAAGACTGAGATTCCCAGCCAATAATATCAAAGTGCACAAACAAGTTGGTAGCAGCCTTACTGCTGTACTGGCATGTTAGTGGCAGGTCGTGATGACACCGCATCCTCTCCCCGCCACATCTGTGTCACTGTTTTTATTTGGGTGTAAAACTGGATCCCCTGTGGAGGAACACTAATGTGTGAGGCTAGATCCTTGGCCAGCCAGCCAATCAACATAAGGCTACACTTGGCCAGCCAGCCAATCAGTATAAGGCTACACTTGGCCAGCCAGCCAATCATCATAAGGTTACACTTGGCCAGCCAACCAATCAACCTAAGGCTACACTTGGCCAGCCAGCCAATCATCATAAGGCTACACTTGGCCAACCAATCAACATAAGGCTACACTTGGCCAGCCAGCCAATCAATATAAGGCTACACTTGGCCAGACAGCCATTCAACCTAAGGCTACACTTGGCCAGCCAGCCATTCATCATAAGGCTAGTTAAACAAGCTAGTACTCACCTGTTTCCCATAGAAGTTTTGATCTCCCCTGAAGGATCCTCGTGAGCCAGTAAAGGAGAACATTGGAAGAGGTACAGGTATGGGTACATTGACACCCACCTGTGGAGGTTTGACATGTTGCCATAGATTACTTCATTTGCTAAATGGCCACATGCCCCATTTACCTGGCCCTGTTAGAATGGCCACATGCCCCATTTACCTGGCCCTGTTAGAATGGCCACATGCCCCATTTACCTGGCCGTTAGAATGGCCACATGCCCCATTTACCTGGCCCTATTAGAATGGCCACATTTACCTGGCCCTGTTAGAATGGCCACATGCCCCATTTACCTGGCCCTGTTAGAATGGCCCCATTTACCTGGCCCTGTTAGAATGGCCCCATTTACCTGGCCCTGTTAGAATGGCCACATGCCCCATTTACCTGGCCGTTAGAATGGCCACATGCCCCATTTACCTGGCCCTATTAGAATGGCCACATTTACCTGGCCCTGTTAGAATGGCCACATGCCCCATTTACCTGGCCCTGTTAGAATGGCCCCATTTACCTGGCCCTGTTAGAATGGCCCCATTTACCTGGCCCTGTTAGAATGGCCCCATGCCCCATTTACCTGGCCCTGTTAGAATGGCCCCATTTACCTGGCCCTGTTAGAATGGCCACATTTACCTGGCCCTGTTAGAATGGCCCCATTTACCTGGCCCTGTAAGAATGGCCACATTTACCTGGCCCTGTTAGAATGGCCACATTTACCTGGCCCTGTTAGAATGGCCATTAAAAAACTGACCTGTCCAACATCAGATTCCATGGTGTATTTCCTGGCTGTGGCCCCGTTTGTCGTGAAGATGGCCGTTCCATTGCCATAGGGGTTGGCATTGACTATTTGAATAGCATCATCAAGTGTTTCTACTTCCATGCTGACTAAGACAGGTCCAAAAATTTCTTCAGTGTAACATTTCATCTTGGGCTGCTCAACAAAACAATTTCATGTCAACAAAACAATTTCATGTCAACAAAACAATTTCATGTCAACAAAACAATTTCATGTCAACAAAACAATTTCATGTCAACAAAACAATGTCATGTCAACAAAACAATTTCATGTCAACTAAACACAATTTCATGTCAACTAAACACAATTTCATGTCAACTAAACACAATTTCATGTCAACTAAACACAATTTCATGTCAACTAAACACAATTTCATGTCAACTAAACACAATTTCATGTCAACAAAACAATTTCATGTCAACAAAACAATTTCATGTCAACAAAACAATTTCATGTCAACAAAACAATTTCATGTCAACAAAACAATTTCATGTCAACAAAACAATTTCATGTCAACAAAACAATTTCATGTCAACAAAACAATTTCATGTCAACAAAACAATTTCATGTCAACAAAACAATTTCATGTGCACAACTGGACAAGGCCCAACTAAATTGTACTTACATCAACTTGGTGTAATATGGTAGGCCCAACTGAATTGTACTTACATCAACTTGGTGTAATATGGTAGGCCCAACTAAATTGTACTTACATCAACTTGGTGTAATATGGTAGGCCCAACTAAATTGTACTTACATCAACTTGGTGTAATATGGTAGGCCCAACAAAATTGTACTTACATCAACTTGGTGTAATATGGTAGGCCCAACAAAATTGCCTCTTTCATATCCCTTGACGACAATGTTGCGCCCGTCTAGCAAGAGCTTAGCACCTGCATCCACGCCTGACTGGATAAGGTCACACACACGTTTCTTGGCATCCGGGGAAATCAAGGGGCCCAGGTCAGCATCTGGCTCAGTGCCTGAAGGGCAGAAGCTCACAACATACTAGTCCACACATGCTTCACTAATTAGTTGACCTCAAATAGTTCACTAATTAGTTGACCTCAAATAGTTCACTAATTAGTTGACCTCAGATAGTTCACTAATTAGTTGACCTCAAATAGTTCACTAATTAGTTGACCTCAAATAGTTCACTAATTAGTTGACCTCAAATAGTTCACTAATTAGTTGACCTCAAATAGTTCACTAATTAGTTGACCTCAAATAGTTCACTAATTAGTTGACCTCAAATAGTTCACTAATTAGTTGACCTCAAATAGTTCACTAATTAGTTGACCTCAAATAGTTCACTAATTACTTGACCTCAGATAGTTCACTAATTAGTTGACCTCAAATAGTTCACTAATTAGTTGACCTAAAACAGTTCACTAATTAATTGACCTCAAGGAGCCCTAACGAACTGACCTGCTGTGACCTTGAGTTTCCTGGCTCTCTCCACCAGCTCAGGGATCCAGTGCTTGGCTTCCCCTACAAAAATGGCAGTTGATAAAGCCATACAGCGCTGTCCAGCAGCGCCAAATGCTGCGCCCACCAAACTGCTGAGTGTGCTCTCCTTGTTGGCGTCTGGCATGATGACACCATGGTTCTTGGCCCCCATGTTGGACTGGACCCTCTTGCCGTTTTTAGAACCTCTTTCATAAATATACTTGCCCTTCATTCAAAGACACATGGACATGATTTTATGGGCACTAGATTTTAAAAGGCTAGAAGGTGCAGTAGTCTAAGATTGTAGTCTGCCAAACCTCACCCCACCCATCATGTGTGCTACACCACCCCACCCATCATGTGTGCTACACCACCCCACCCATCATGTGTGCTACACCACCCCACCCATCATGTGTGCTACACCACCCCACCCATCATGTGTGCTACACCACCCCACCCATCATGTGTGCTACACCATGTCACCCCACCCATCATGTGTGCTACACCATGTCACCCCACCCATCATGTGTGCTACACCATGTCACCCCACCCATCATGTGTGCTACACCATGTCACCCCACCCATCATGTGTGCTACACCATGTCACCCCACCCATCATGTGTGCTACACCATGTCACCCCACCCATCATGTGTGCTACACCATGTCACCCCACCCATCATGTGTGCTACACCATGTCACCCCACCCATCATGTGTGCTACACCATGTCACCCCACCCATCATGTGTGCTACACCATGTCACCCCCACCCATCATGTGTGCTACACCATGTCACCCCACCCATCATGTGTGCTACACCATGTCACCCCACCCATCATGTGTGCTACACCATGTCACCCCACCCATCATGTGTGCTACACCATGTCACCCCACCCATCATGTGTGCTACACCATGTCACCCCACCCATCATGTGTGCTACACCATGTCACCCCACCCATCATGTGTGCTACACCATGTCACCCCACCCATCATGTGTGCTACACCATGTCACCCCACCCATCATGTGTGCTACACCATGTCACCCCACCCATCATGTGTGCTACACCATGTCACCCCACCCATCATGTGTGCTACACCATGTCACCCCACCCATCATGTGTGCTACACCATGTCACCCCACCCATCATGTGTGCTACACCATGTCACCCCACCCATCATGTGTGCTACACCATGTCACCCCACCCATCATGTGTGCTACACCATGTCACCCCACCCATCATGTGTGCTACACCATGTCACCCCACCCATCATGTGTGCTACACCACCCCACCCCACCCATCATGTGTGCTACACCACCCCACCCATCATGTGTGCTACACCACCCCACCCATCATGTGTGCTACACCACCCCACCCATCATGTGTGCTACACCACCCCACCCATCATGTGTGCTACACCACCCCACCCATCATGTGTGCTACACCACCCCACCCATCATGTGTGCTACACCACCCCACCCATCATGTGTGCTACACCACCCCACCCATCATGTCTGCTACACCACCCCACCCATCATGTGTGCCACACCACCCCACCCATCATGTCTGCTACACCATGTCACCCCACCCATCATGTCTGCTACACCATGTCACCCCACCCATCATGTCTGCTACACCATGTCACCCCACCCATCATGCGTGCCACACCACCCCACCCATCATGTGTGCCACACCACCCCACCCATCATGTGTGCCACACCACCCCACCCATCATGTGTGCCACACCACCCCACCCATCATGTGTGCCACACCATGTCACCCCACCCATCATGTGTGCCACACCATGTCACCCCACCCATCATGTGTGCCACACCAAGTCACCCCACCCATCATGTGTGCTACACCAAGTCACCCCACCCATCATGTGTGCTACACCAAGTCACCCCACCCATCATGTGTGCCACACCACCCCACCCATCATGTGTGCCACACCACCCCACCCATCATGTGTGCCACACCACCCCACCCATCATGTGTGCCACACCACCCCACCCATCATGTGTGCTACACCATGTCACCCCACCCATCATGTGTGCTACACCATGTCACCCCACCCATCATGTGTGCTACACCATGTCACCCCACCCATCATGTGTGCTACACCATGTCACCCCACCCATCATGTGTGCTACACCATGTCACCCCACCCATCATGTGTGCTACACCATGTCACCCCACCCATCATGTGTGCTACACCATGTCACCCCACCCATCATGTGTGCTACACCATGTCACCCCACCCATCATGTGTGCTACACCATGTCACCCCACCCATCATGTGTGCTACACCACCCCACCCATCATGTGTGCTACACCACCCCACCCATCATGTGTGCTACACCACCCCACCCATCATGTGTGCTACACCACCCCACCCATCATGTGTGCTACACCACCCCACCCATCATGTGTGCTACACCACGTCACCCCACCCATCATGTGTGCTACACCACCCCACCCATCATGTGTGCTACACCATGTCACCCCACCCATCATGTGTGCTACACCATGTCACCCCACCCATCATGTGTGCTACACCATGTCACCCCACCCATCATGTGTGCTACACCATGTCACCCCACCCATCATGTGTGCTACACCATGTCACCCCACCCATCATGTGTGCTACACCATGTCACCCCACCCATCATGTGTGCTACACCATGTCACCCCACCCATCATGTGTGCTACACCATGTCACCCCACCCATCATGTGTGCTACACCATGTCACCCCACCCATCATGTGTGCTACACCATGTCACCCCACCCATCATGTGTGCTACACCATGTCACCCCACCCATCATGTGTGCTACACCATGTCACCCCACCCATCATGTGTGCTACACCATGTCACCCCACCCATCATGTGTGCTACACCATGTCACCCCACCCATCATGTGTGCTACACCATGTCACCCCACCCATCATGTGTGCTACACCATGTCACCCCACCCATCATGTGTGCTACACCATGTCACCCCACCCATCATGTGTGCTACACCATGTCACCCCCACCCATCATGTGTGCTACACCATGTCACCCCCACCCATCATGTGTGCTACACCATGTCACCCCACCCATCATGTGTGCTACACCATGTCACCCCCACCCATCATGTGTGCTACACCATGTCACCCCCACCCATCATGTGTGCTACACCATGTCACCCCACCCATCATGTGTGCTACACCATGTCACCCCACCCATCATGTGTGCTACACCATGTCACCCCCACCCATCATGTGTGCTACACCATGTCACCCCACCCATCATGTGTGCTACACCATGTCACCCCACCCATCATGTGTGCTACACCATGTCACCCCACCCATCATGTGTGCTACACCATGTCAAACCACCCATCATGTGTGCTACACCATGTCAAACCACCCATCATGTGTGCTACACCATGTCAAACCACCCATCATGTGTGCTACACCATGTCAAACCACCCATCATGTGTGCTACACCATGTCACCCCACCCATCATGTGTGCTACACCATGTCACCCCACCCATCATGTGTGCTACACCATGTCACCCCACCCATCATGTGTGCTACACCATGTCACCCCACCCATCATGTGTGCTACACCACCCCACCCATCATGTGTGCTACACCACCCCACCCATCATGTGTGCTACACCACCCCACCCATCATGTGTGCTACACCACCCCACCCATCATGTGTGCTACACCATGTCACCCCACCCATCATGTGTGCTACACCACCCCACCCATCATGTGTGCTACACCACCCCACCTCACCCCACCCATCATGTGTGCTACACCATGTCACCCCACCCATCATGTGTGCTACACCACCCCACCCATCATGTGTGCTACACCATGTCACCCCACCCATCATGTGTGCTACACCATGTCACCCCACCCATCATGTGTGCTACACCATGTCACCCCACCCATCATGTGTGCTACACCATGTCACCCCACCCATCATGTGTGCTACACCATGTCACCCCACCCATCATGTGTGCTACACCAAGTCACCCCACCCATCATGTGTGCTACACCATGTCACCCCACCCATCATGTGTGCTACACCATGTCACCCCACCCATCATGTGTGCTACACCATGTCACCCCACCCATCATGTGTGCTACACCATGTCACCCCACCCATCATGTGTGCTACACCATGTCACCCCACCCATCATGTGTGCTACACCATGTCACCCCACCCATCATGTGTGCTACACCATGTCACCCCACCCATCATGTGTGCTACACCATGTCACCCCACCCATCATGTGTGCTACACCATGTCACCCCACCCATCATGTGTGCTACACCATGTCACCCCACCCATCATGTGTGCTACACCATGTCAAACCACCCATCATGTGTGCTACACCATGTCAAACCACCCATCATGTGTGCTACACCATGTCACCCCACCCATCATGTGTGCTACACCATGTCACCCCACCCATCATGTGTGCTACACCATGTCACCCCACCCATCATGTGTGCTACACCACCCCACCCATCATGTGTGCTACACCACCCCACCCATCATGTGTGCTACACCACCCCACCCATCATGTGTGCTACACCATGTCACCCCACCCATCATGTGTGCTACACCATGTCACCCCACCCATCATGTGTGCTACACCACCCCACCCATCATGTGTGCTACACCACCCCACCTCACCCCACCCATCATGTGTGCTACACCATGTCACCCCACCCATCATGTGTGCTACACCACCCCACCCATCATGTGTGCTACACCACCCCACCCATCATGTGTGCTACACCATGTCACCCCACCCATCATGTGTGCTACACCAAGTCACCCCACCCATCATGTGTGCTACACCAAGTCACCCCACCCATCATGTGTGCTACACCATGTCACCCCACCCATCATGTGTGCTACACCACCCCACCCATCATGTGTGCTACACCACCCCACCCATCATGTGTGCTACACCACCCCACCCATCATGTGTGCTACACCATGTCACCCCACCCATCATGTGTGCTACACCATGTCACCCCACCCATCATGTGTGCTACACCAAGTCACCCCACCCATCATGTGTGCTACACCAAGTCACCCCACCCATCATGTGTGCTACACCAAGTCACCCCACCCATCATGTGTGCTACACCAAGTCACCCCACCCATCATGTGTGCTACACCAAGTCACCCCACCCATCATGTGTGCTACACC